CTCAAGGCTGCTCTGACAGCTAGGTTGTGTGTCTCTGCGTTTTGCAGGCAGTGGATATGCCGCATTGCCCTGCTCGTTGAGGACAAGAACCCAGGGGTTCGTCGCCTTGCTGTGGCAGCGCTTGAAAACGTGTACAAATGTGTGGACCCCAACACTCTGTTGGCACACATCAACCAAGCAAGCCCGCAAGAGCAGGTACTGCACTCGATGGTCCGGCATGGGATCTTGGACTGTACCAATGTTCCATGGCCACAAAGAGCTGTGACAGCTGCAGTGTTTACTGAATAGATTATAATAGACTGCATTGACCATCAACAATATAAGGCGTTTTGTATCTCCACGGTTCTAGCAGGCCTTCTGATAGCTCTGTAAATTGAAGCTCACCAGTGAACAGGGCAGCTGCAATGTGTGGGATTGGCAGCCAAAACGAGTCACGATTCTATCTGATTGGGTAAATGCACTGTTTTGAGAGCGACTTCTGTTGTTAATTCCCCTGGAGTCATTGCCACGATGTCTCTTGCACACATCCCCACACTAACTTCACTGTCTAAACTCGCAGCAGGCTAGGAGTAATTCATGTGCAGAAATAGTCATTTTGTGTTGTCCAATTGTTCAGCTTTGCAATCTCTGCACTGTGCCATGGCTGTTCCCAGAGAAGCTGCCTCTGGCACCCTGAAACATGCTCACGACAGATGCTTTTATGCTGGCAGTTTCGTCCACAGCACTTTGCACAGCATCCCTTGGCACTGCACCCTGTGCTGACCGTCCCCTGTGGGTTCCTCTGACACATGTTGTTACATTTGCAGCACACTCTACGCCGCGTGCTGATGCCTCTGCTTCCACAGCTCATGGTTGCGCCCATCAAGGAGCAGCACCCCAACTCAGAGGCCACAGCGCCTGGGGTCTCCGAGCCACAGGTGCCTGGCAATGTGGCAAAGCACTTCAATGCGAGGGGCGGCAATCCAATGGGTCTGCCAGCCAAGCGTGGCTGGAGGGAGCCACAACCCACTTCGGCCTTAGAGTGCACTGCCTCCAAACAAATTGTTGCGGAAACAGATATGAAAGGGAAGGCCGATGGTTATGGCAGGAGTAGAACAGCCAGCACATCTGGAGTAGAGGCAGGGTGTTCATCTGCTCCACTGTCAGCGGGTGATGCAGGAATGGCTGTCCAGGAGGTATCAAACACTGTGTGGGGGCCCCATAGTGGGCCGCTAACCCCAGGAGGGTTTGCAAAGCATCATCAGGACCAGCACTTGGAAGCTGCAGGACAGCCAGGTGGGTTTACAGGGGACATGGATTGCACCCGAGCTTGGAACCCTTATGAGGAGCACTGTGCTGCAAAGTTTGCTACAGTAAAGGAAGAAACAGGCCATGATATGGACAGTCCATTGGCAAGCATTTTTTAAACTGCAGTCCGTTGGGAGAAAAGATCTGTGAACTCTGTGTGTGGAGTTTCCATGTCGAGAATTTCTGACATAGACAGCCCTTCCCTGATGCAGCAGGAACCTTGGATGCTCCCAGTGCGATGGAAACTGAGGCCATGCCCGAAGATGCCGAGATGCCCCAGGTAGTGCCTGGGCAGCTCAGTAGTGACCAGCAGCCCGTCGAGCAGCCTGTGCAGCTGTTTGCCAACGACACTCCAAGGCAGCACAGGCGACGAGCCTGCAGCGTCCCTGAGGCATCACCTTCCAGCTTTGTCCTGAAGAACGTGCACAAGCCTGTGGACCAGCGGGAAGCGTTTCAAAGGCTGGTGCACGAGCTGCAGGCTGAACCATCTGTGAGCACAGTGCAGAGACTGGGGCGGTGTGCGTGCGATCTGAACAAGGACGTCTGGGCTGAAACTCTGGCGCAGGTGAATGCCATGGAGCATGCCACCATTTGCATGGTCCTGATGTGCAAGAGATATCTGAATCAACGTTGCAGCGCCAAGAACAGTGTCCATATTGCCTCTTAGAAGGTGCTGCCTAGTTGACGTGTACATACTGCACTCGCAGGATCGATGAAGGGCAACCGATCGGCCATCTCCCTGCCCTGCCCATGTCGTGGCACTGATCGTGCCAGCATCTCTTTTAGTGCTATTGCCCCCGGCCCCCTTGTGTATGCAGTGCACACTTTGTTTCACCACCCTCTTTGAAGGCAGGCAACTTTGTTGGAGATGCATGGACCGTTGAATGTTTATGACAGAGACAAAGTACATGGTATTGTGCGTTTCTGTGTGGAGATTCCAACACCACCAACGTTGCCAACGTTATGCTGCACTAGGCCTAGTCTTATTGCACAGGATGGGCTACCTGTCCAGAACAAAACTGTTGGAAAGGCTCCCCTCCCTGCTATGAAGGATGTCGTGGGAGTTTCTGAGTAGAAGAGGGAAGCACACAACCCAGCATAGTAAGACATGCACACAGGCTGCCCCACACTGTGCAGAATCTTAACAAATGCAACAACTCGAAATCGCACATTCTGTGGCTCATGAGCGTGGAGTTTGTTTCTGCAGGTTGTGTTGTCGCTCCTCTCCCTGCTGTCCAGTGAGGACGAGTCGATGAGGGAGCAAGCGCTCATTGCTCTGCGTGAGGTCATCGTCCACCAGGCATCCCTTCTCCCATCTTCCTTGGCGAAAGAGGTCATTCTACGTGTGCTTGCATGCCACAAGGACAGGGTTGGTTTGGTGAGACATCTGTTCCCTTTTTCACTATGTGTGCCTTCCATTGCGCGATGCTCAAAAAGTGAAAATTTTAATGGAAGGAACAATTAATGACACAAAGCAGTTAGAGCTGGCTGTGGCAGGCTGCCACGCCACAGCAATTGGTGTTTCCTGTTGCATCTTGTTGTGATGTATTTGTGTCTATTCCCGCCGATGCACACATCGCCAGGGCACCGAGAGCAAGCAACTGAAGCTGTTACTGCCAATGAGCACTTCACAGTGCTGACCAAGGATTGCAGTCTTCTGTGTGTGGATATCTATGTTGTGAACCTGCAAGCTGCTCTCAATCTGAGTTGATTGACAAGTTTTGGATTGCGGTGTTGCCTTTCACTTGGCCAACATGTGCTAGTATGCCTTGTCACTAATTCGCCATGTACCAGCCATGCCAAAGATCACGGCAACAAAGGGCTGCTCCAGTTGCTCTAAAAAGCTGCATTTAGGTCCACATGGGGCTGTCATTTCCTACATTTGTTGAATGTGTCGACTCAGATGTTCTTTCACAAATCAGGTCCGTATGGCTGCCGATCAAGTCATGGAAGAGCTGTGCCAACGGGTGGACCCTGGCCCCACTGTTGACACCCTCTCCGGAGCCCTGGCATCTGCAACTGAGACCAGCCAGACAGTTGCGGGAATGGCAAATGCTGTTGCTTGCTGCATTGTGAACAACACAGCCAGGGTGCTCAGGCGCAGCAGCGACTTTGCGGTCTCGAAAGCGCTGCAGACCAAGCTGATGAGCGGCCTCCTTGCAGCGTACAACAGCTCCTGGGTGGACGTCAGGAAGAGTGTGGTGTACTGCTTGGCAGAATTGTGGAACAGGCTGGGAGAAAGGTATGGGACCAAGTGCCCTTGCATGTGTCGATCATGTGCTGGCAAACTCCGTTGGCTGTGTACTGGAAGCCCTTGCACCTTGTAAGCAAAGACACTTGCAGTTGTGTCCAATAAACATTTGTTCGTTTCCCAATCCGTTGCTTTCGTTTGGCAACTGGCTGCCTTTGTGCCAAGGCGAAGGCAGGCAAACTCCGTCCACACCTTGTTGTGGTCACCATTGCTGACACTCGGTTCACTGTAACAGGCATGAGCATGTCTTGAATTTGGCACAGTCTGCTGAATCGCTAGCTGGAGGCTGTAGACTCCCAGCGTGAGAATGGAGAATTGTGAATACCTGATTGGGTGGCTCCCTCCGCAGGTGGCACATTTTCATTTTACTGCCCTCACGTCACTTTGCTTGCCTGGTAATTCAGTAAGCCAGTGTCGTTTGTCAGGATTTCTATGCTGCCTTTAGGCCAAAAAGTCAGATCAATTCCACCGTGTGAATTTAATCTGTGTTTTGGGGCATGCAGGCTTTGTTAGTTGGCACAGACAAGTCAATGCCAAACGCCTTGCCCAGAGTTTCAGTGCAGTGCACTCGTGTCTGACAACCCTAATGGCCTGTTGCTCAGGATGTCTCCTGAGTTGGCTGCGTTGACGCCTGCTCAGACAGCCCTCGTTAAGCTGTATGCTGACAAGGTGAAGCATAAGAACAAGGAGAATGCAAAGCCAAGCAGCCCCCGTCCCGGTTCACTGCAGAGTTTGGTGTTGGCGTCGGCTCGGAGCACTCCAGGGGCTCAATGACTTTGTCCGTTTCTGATGGGTAAGGGAGCTGAAATCGTGTGCTGCCTGACCCGTCTGAGTCTGTGGGTGGGCAGAGTGTAGAGAGAAGGGGCCATGCATGCAAGGGCAAGTGCAGAGAGCCCCATTATTGAGAGCAACTGACTGGAACGATTCACGTGATGAGTAGCCGGTGATGACTGAATGCACTACCTCACAATTGCTGACCAAAGCCGCAAAGTGGCACTGGCATGATCTCTAGGCGTTTGAATGTTCATCCATGGTAGGCCAGATTACAATATTATTAGACAATGGGCTGCCCGCCTGCCTTGTTGGCACTGGCTTTGGTTTTGGTGCTGCAGCCATCCATTGCAACTGTAATTGTGGTTGCTGAGTTTCGCCCATTTGCTCCACAAGGCTGCCAACATCATCCAAGGCTGGAAGCGCTCACAGTTGTGAAGCATTCAGGGCAGGACTATGTTCATGCCTGGTTCGTTGAGTTCCAGATGATGGCACTCCTGGCAGCACACCAATGTGCGAAAACCTGAACGCTTGTTTCATCAATGCCTGTGTGCAGTTGCTGCTGGCACAGATATCCAGGGCCTCACAGTCGTTCGAGTATGGCCCCCGGGAGAATCCCAAACATCCACCCGCTGTCCTGCGCTTCAGTGTGCAAAAGAACACATTGTTAACCATTTCCATGCAGAATGAAACACATTTCATGGGCTTTCCAAGGCATTCTCAGACGCTGCTGGCCACGAGTGTGTGTGGGCCAACAAATCAGGGTGCAAGGAACCGATGTCAGTCGGAAACCCACCATGAAGGGTCTGACGGATGCGCATTAATCCAACTACGAAAACGGCTGGGATGCGCACCAAAGCTTTCCACCTCCATTCCAGGAATTAGGAACATTACAGCAATAGAACCTGCTGTTCCCTCATTTAGGAAACACGGTAAATCATCACGCAGGCTTCAAGATCAACGTGCCAGAAACTCGCCTGGTCCCTGGGCCCTCAAGCCCAACTGGGCGACGGCAGCGCTGCGGTCGCCCACGTTTTCCTAACCGAGGCAGTCGCCTTGCGGATCAACTCTTCTCGAATCTCTGCTTTCAAACGGCTGATTGAGATTCCGTTTTCAAAGGGCGGATCGCCCTCCAGTGTTAGGCGACGAGGCTTGGCCTCGGGCTTGGGGCTTGGGCTTATCTTTGCACAATCTTCGGCGGTAGCCGCGCCCACCGCGCCGGCATGCCGATCTGCCGCGCCCATCCGTCGCTGGTGCTCCTCGGAGCGGCGCTGGCCGCTAGCACGTTGACGGCTGAAGGGATGCGGCCGGATTGCGTGGGTGTCGATCCCGTGGGCGCATTTTCGGTGGGCTTCCTGCGCAACCAGTCGGACGCGGCTTCGGAGTCCACGCTGCGGGGGCTGATGCTATTCGAGGAGCGGCAGGCAGAGGCGCTGTGCGCGGGCGAGTACGGCGAAGAAGCCCATCGACTGGACCTTGTGGTGCGGGACGCCATTGAGGACGGGCAGGCGCTGCGCGAATTTCGGGATCTGGTGGGTGAGGTGGATTTTTTGGCCGCCGGGGAGATAGGGTCTGTCGAGGGGCAGGCGCAGGCGGCGGAGGCCGCGGGGAAGATGCTCCTGTTCTCGGGCGGCGAGCTGCCGGACGCGGTGCTGGGGAGGAAGAACAGGTACCTGTTTTCGATGGTGGGGCCATTCAAGCCGTGGGTGGACCAGATCGTGACGATGCTGCTGGCCTCGGTGAGGGCTCGGTGCCGGAGGGTGGTGTGCTGATACACAAGATACGTGCTCGTTTGAGATATACGTTCATACATTCATGCTGATATGAGATGCGTGAATACAGAGCTCGGTGATGGAGGGTGATGTGCTGATGCACAAGATCCGCGCTGATCTGAAATGGGCTTCATGAGTCTGATGTGCCTTCGTGGGTGTCTTCTGGAGTCTAATGCGCAGATCGAAGTGCTGTTAAATGGAACGGGTGCTCCTGACTACCTGCATCGGGAAGCAGAAACTCGATTCACACATTTTCTGGGTCACCACACACTGTGACGGGGGATCTGGGACTGGATAAGGCGGACCAAGAGCGGGTGGAGGGTGTCTAGCCAGCAGGCCCTTTTCTGATGTGCTTGGGTGGTTTGCCCCAGGGAATAAAAACAGCATCGATCATATGCGAGCGAGACGCCCGGGGCCAGTGCGAGGAGCGTTGTCATCGGATACTTGCGGGATTGAGCCGATTGGAACCCAGGGGTTTGAAAACAAGGGTGGAGACGAGGACAGAGGAGGAGCTAGCAAACAGGACTGTGGCTGAGGAGCTGGCAGCAAAGTCTGTGGAGCAGAAAGTCGAGGTTATTTTTGGTAGGTCCTGTGTTGCCCTTGTCGACTGTGTTACTGTTAATCTGCATCAAATGTCAGCAGATAGAGCTCGGCCTCTGTCTTGTGCTGGAAAATCCCCAAAATAGTTCCCTAAATGATTTGCAACCCAAACCCTACACAGTGCCCATGTTGTCCACCTGTGCGATATGCAAATATTATGTCCAGCCAAGTGCAGCTCCATCCATCGTGAACTTGACAGGGACCCTAACTGACTGACTTGTAAGCCAGTCAGTCAGGGTCCCTGCGAATCTATTCTCCAAAGGCAAACCTGTTCTGTGCACGTGCATGTTGCATAACTCATCATTTTTGGTACATGGAAAATCACTTTGCTTTGGCCAACGACTCCTTGAACGGAAATGATTGTGGCATCGAGGTGGTGCTGTGCGTGAATGCTAATTGAGTTGAGAATATACTCAGACCCAATATTGGTGTGCAGATATCTCCTGTTGCTCCTGCCTTGCTGCACATTCTGCAGTCTTGAGATCATCATGAAGAAATGCTGGCATCCAAAGCTGTTGCTCACTGTGCAGCCTTCAAGCTGTCACGTCATATATTCTGTAGTCAGTGAATTCCTTTCCATTCCATATTGCGCTTGAAAGAAGCATACCCTTGCACCAAGCAGGTAGGCAAAGGGGTGCTAATCAGTGCTTTGTTATAGTTCGCTGATGGCAATGACAAGGGTTTCCATTCCATGGTCCAGCGGTGACATGTCGTGACAGAAAGATTCCAGCCATTGCCTGATACATTGCTATCCGCACGAAAACACCGATGACTGCCATTTTCGGCAGGTTGTTTCAGCAACTACACGTCGAGAAATCTTGTGGAGTCGTTCTTCAAACTGAAATATGCTCTTAAGGGCCAGTTCTACACTATGGGACCATCAGATGGGGCTTTTGCCCAAACGTTGGGGCACAAGTCCTTGTACACAATGAGCCCCGTCCCCTGGCACAAGGATGCGGACTTTGGCGTCGTACATCTCTTCAAGGATCACAAAAACTTTGTGGGGATGTTTGCAAGGCGATTTGGGCATGAGCCAGACATGTACGCGGCGGCCGCGGCGGCTTCCATGTCCATGCTGCAGGAGGCCATCAAACTCACCTTCGCTGGCGCCAATTCAACTGTTAGGGAAAAATCTGAAGAAATACAGCGCAACAGCAGCACTCTTAGGTGGGCACAGGCAGGCGGCCCATTTGCACACACATGCACCACTGGACATTACGTCCCCTGCACTTAATGTTCTGCATCCTTTAAATGATTGCACCTGTCCAGTAACGGCAAAGCATGGGCCTGAGATGTTGAGGGCGACGATGGCGACAATCCCCACTCACAAGATGTTTCCAATGTTCTCAAGAAGTGCTCACGGCAAATGGATGGATGACAGAGACGGGGATATGGACATTCATCGGGTTTCTCTCCTGAGTGTGTTGCTGTCTGTGGACCTGTGTACATTGTGTTCCTTGATGCTGTAGGGTGGGACTCCTTGCCGATCACTGTGAGGGCAGTGTAGTCCTCCAGCAAGGGGCTGCTGTCTGACTATCTGAGTCTAACAGACCAATGTGTCGAATTTTCACTTTGCCTGTATGGATGTTCATTGAAGATTCAAGAAGCGGTCGCAAAATGTTGAATTGCCCTCGTATCATGTCTCGCTGAATATTGCTAATGGCCCATGCGCCAGCTGGCGTTTGAGAATGACAACTTTTGGTTGTTTTCTGACCTTTCTTGGTTCTTGCGACGCTGTGGGGCATCATCAATTGTTTTCAGAAGGGCACGTCGACAGTCGAAGAGCTAGTGCAGAGCCATTATTGGTGCCGCCATTGGCCAGTATGCCCATACACGACAGTTCCACTTCAAAGGGAGCTGAACACAACTGTGCCATGTCAACGTCCTACGAGGTGTCCCCAGGTCCAGAATTGCCACGTGTCCAGATGTAATTGCCTGTCCAGAGTTTTGAAAACAGTAATGGTGACAAACCAGCGGAGGACGTCAAAGAAAGGAACAAGCTTATGGTGTGTGTGCACAATAACAGCAGTGTACCCTTGGAATCTGCTACCCCCAGGTATAACGAAGTTTGGCGAAATCTGCGCTACACTGAGCGTAGGACAGTGTTTGGAAAAGTCGACTTCGACAAGTGGCAGCAAAACAAGGGAAACAAATATCTGACAGTGCAGGTGGGCTAGCAATGGGCTATTGATTCCTTGGACGCAGCAGAGTAGTCATGCATTGGGGCATCCCTCTCCTGAGCACATGCTCTTGAAACACGTTTCCTGCGGAAAAGCAGGTGCAGGGATCTGTGAATCCATCAAAAGCAATCCCAACAGTGAACAGTGTGAATGACAAGGCGCTCTATCTGCCGAGGCAACTACGTTGTCGATTCACGGTTCATTTCGTCCTGTCTTGAAACCCTGTTGTCCTATTCGTTTTGTCCTATCAGTCCATTCAAAATGTTCCCTTTGCAACTTCGAAATGATGGTGCATTAAGACAGATTGAGCCTTGTCTAAGCTGTCCCTTGTGCTGATTTTCTACATGAGTTCATCGAATCCGTTGGTTGGTGACCACAGCAGTCACCCCAACAGCGAGGTGGCCCAAACCCCAAGGAACACAGTGGGCAACTGCAAGAACATCGCTGGATGTACGGGAACAAAACTCCTCCTGAACTAAAACTTGCGCATGAGCAACGACACACATCGTTGCATGGGTACAAGGGTACAGATATATTTGCTATTGCTCAATGCAATCAATGCAGATTCGTGCCACTGCCTTCTTTTCTTTAGTGTTTCAGCTGCATGCAGATCTTACGTGGCAACCACAGCATCGGCCCAACTGTCGTGCTTCCGGAGCTCTTTTCAAGCGGCCACCAGTTTCAATTCCCGGGAGCAAACATTCACAAACCCCTGAAGTGCCCTGCAGGGCAGTCTGCCACAAACAACGAGTTCCATCCATGCAAGAAATGCCCCCCGGGCAGATTTTCCGATGTGGCTGGCCTGGACTTCTGCAAGGACTGCGGGTTGTCAGCTTACAATCCAAATGCGGGTGCAACAAGCTGCATCCCCTGTCCAGGTGAGCACTTGGAACAATGCAGTGCTGGAATTCTCTTATGTTTGATAAGGGTGACAGTAATCGTAGGGCGAGATGTGCAAAGCTGTATGCTGCTCCTTTTAGCACACTAGGGATACTAAAAGCCATGGAAGACATCGGGATCAGCCCTAAAGGCTGGGGTTGATCCAGTGCAGGGATTTTCTTGAAGTTTGAGTGCTTCAGGGAGGTTTTGAAACGAGCCATAAATTGTGTTTTGCTGACCAGCGGCATTCTTGTGCATCTGCTTACCTTACTTTGATTTCAGCATCCATGGCCTGGCCCCAACCTCCCTTTGGCGTCCGTTTGACGCTGAGCGTGCAAAGTTTGCACTGCAGACTCCAAAAAATGACTTCTCTTGGGCATGTGCTGTGAATTGGCCACAGTCACCTGTCTTGTGTGCAATTTTGCAGTTTTGTGCACGGCGCTGCTGACCTGCTCAGCCGTGCGCACACTGGTGCTGAACTGACTTAAGAGCAAACACCCGTGATTTTCGACGCCGCCTGGCATTGCCCTATAAGGCATGCGGGGCATGCGCATAGGGCATATAGGGCCCTGTAGGTAATATAGATATGTGCAAGTGCACTAATTTCTTATATTCTAAGGAATGAAGATTGCCATGTCACAGATCTTACGCGCAGCACCCGCCGGACTGCAAAGTCATTAGGCGAGTGTGTGTGCCAGATGGGGGCATACCTCATCCACCCGGAAAACATGACTTGCGCAAAATGCCCTCAGGGCGGAATCTGTGAGGGCGGCTCGACGCCCCCCTATCCACGACCGGGCTCGTGGGGGGTGCAAAACTTCAGGTGGGCTGGCACCGACAGCTAATCGGCTATGCCTCTGGGATCAAAGACTCATACAAGGACCGATCTGACTCATTATTTAGGCTAAAAATAAACCAGGTAGGTTCTTACAGGACTCTCGCTGATCCTTAAAGCTAAGCTTTAAGGCTGCATAAGCCACATTCATCTCAACGCAGCTGTAAAAAGCTTTATCAGCTTTGGGTCGATATGGATGTGCAATGCTTTATTGTCTTGGACCATCAGCTTTTCTACAGGTCTTTTCCTACAGTACCACAATCTTCTGCAAAGGAGTCTCAATAATAACAACAATGTCCGGGGCAGTAACCCATGAAGTTTCGGGGACATCCTCAAAGATATCACACAATAACTGCCAGCGGCATAACACATGAAGTGATACAGCGAAAAAAATAGGAAAGGTAACATGCGATGATATTTTATTCTTCCAAGTTGTGTGCGTACATTTGTGTGTGCCAAGAGAAGCCAAGGCCCCACATTAAAGGACCACAATGCTTGCCATTGACGTTTCCGTAGCATTGGTGTCCTGATTCTTGTTGTGTGGCAAAGGCAGTAAGCTACCAATTTCTAACTGGGGAACAGTGGGAAACATCAGGCCCCCAGTGTAGTATTCCCTGTCAGATTGTGTGCATTGTCCAATATTGGCGTCCAATAAGGAGCAGAACGGTGATTGCTTGTAGGAATGTAGACAACACCACAGCTTTCACGGCGTGCCAATCCCCTGGCTTCTGCAAGGGTGGCCAGAACTTTTCTGACCTCTGCAATACAGGCTATTCAGGCAGGCTGTGTGCAAAATGCGACGAGGGCTACTTTAAACTGGGAGGGAAATGCCATAAGTGCTGGTGAGGGCGCTGCGGTGGCTTCTAATATGCGACTCCAACCTTTTCTGCCGCCTACCACAAGTTTCCGGGAGTCGTCCCAGTGACTGCTTGCGATGATCAATGCAGCCATTAAAATCGCCACTGGATATGCACTCAGTGCTTCCAAGTCATGCTGTGCATGCAAGGCGCACCCACTCTGGTAGCAGCTGCTCACAGTGTAACAATCTTGGAATCTGCGTTGTTGGCATTGTTGACATCAGATGACCAGAGTTCTAGGCCAACTGTACTTGCACATGTTATGCGATGCGCGACTCTGTTTCCACACAATATGGTTCATTGCACTTTGATTTTGTTGGCTGTGTATGCATGGACCATTGTCTTAACAGCTCTATTACCCAATTGTTTTCGTTGAGGAAGAACGGCATAGCGCACGCAGGTGTTGGTTCTGGCTGTTTCTCTTCCTGCCCACCTCGGAAAAGGCCTAAGCGGTGGCAGTAGGCCGCCGTGTAAAGGAAGACACCGCGGCTGGTATGGCATTGACAGCACGCGCCTGTGCGAAACTCTGTTTTGTGGTGTCAGGCGCCATGGAATCCTTCAAGACAACCTGTTGCAATGGTTTGGTTTCTTGAGGCAATGTGATGCTGCAGCCCTTCAATGGCAATGATATGTGTAAACACACCCAACCTGTTTGAGTGCTTCTTGGATGTGCATCGGGATGTCCCACAGTGCCCCAACCACTGATTGCACGAGCGGAAAAGCGAACAAACGATATTGCTTTTGTACTCTCGAACAAACCACGAGTGGCAGTTCGATGATACGCACGCACGTTTCATGCGCATGCCACAATACTTTAGGCGCTAAGGCTCATGCTGTGTCACATGTTGCCTTGTGCAGTCAAACGGAATGACTCAACGATTCACATGCAGCCTGATGTCCCCTGTTGCGGTCCAGGACGGCGCCAGCAACGTGGACGTTCATTCTGTTTGTCATTGCCACGTGGTTGCTGATCAACTTAGTCATATCCCAGCGGGTGGAAACATTGGGACTCGTCCTGAATTGGGCCCAGCTCGCCAATGTCATTGGCTCGCTTCCTCTCGACTGGGAGCCCAGCCTGGAGAGGGTGAGCCGCTGCGGTGCACAGTGTCCCTGCGTCTCTCCTGGAATCGATGTAGAGCTGGCGAATACTCGGACCAGCCCAGAGCTTGGGGTGCCCATCTTGGTCACAGTATTTCGATCCTGGCAAGCGATGCATGTATAAACACACTGCGTTAAAGTCAACGAAAAGCAAAGTGTGTCTCATTGTACATGGTCACAAACTGCTCTTTCCTATTAGGAAGCTAGTCAATTAGCTAGCCAAACTCTGACTTACAGAAGAGGACAGACATGACAGCACCTCTTTTGGATTGTGGTGCTGGGTGGACTCGCCGTGCTATCGAGCCCAGAGACGGTTATATCTGTCTTCTCACCCAGAAATACAAAGTCGTTGTGGAAGATAGAAATTGCATGTCTCCAGCAATTATCGTCTCTCAACACATTAATGGCACAATAGTATATGGCCTGTTCCCAGTTCTGACAGACCAGTATCAATTCCCGATCTCTGGCATTCCCAGATCTCTTCTGGTGCAATGTCCCACTTGGTCCCACATGGTCTCACATGGTCCCAAATGTGTGGCAAAGTACATTGACACTGCAACGTCTGTCAGTTGTAGCACCCGGAGTTTAAGTCTGCATTTAGCAACAAATCGCAGCATCAATTCCGTCCCTCAACACGCAGACAACTGACGACCCACCTTGAAAAGATCTCCTTCGACGGAAAAGGAAAGTCCTCCCTAACGCCACCCCATTCTAGGCCTAGCGAGAAATTCTGTGAGCCCCGATTTCACAATGCAGGGTGCGGTGGATATGTATCTTTGTGCAGGAGGACAGGGAGTTCAATGTAACACAAGCCCATCAGCAATCGACTCCATATGCTGAAGCTTCAAAACCTGTCATTGGCTCCTCGTATTTGCAGTTCTCAATGCTCGTCACGGGAGCAGCACTGGTGCCCTTGCGTTTGGCAGCTGTACGGTCACCCACACAATTGGGCATCCTATGCGAATCCCCAATGTAAATCAGAGTGGGGTGGGGTGGGGTGGGGGGTGGGGTGGGGGTAGGGGTGGTGGGGGGTGGGGGGGTGGGGGTGGGGGCATTCAAGCACTGCGTTGCACCTCGGTATTCGTGCCCATGTTACACAGCATATGCTTATAACCTGCCCACAAGATCATAGTTCACACCATATGCTTATCCAATGCTCTTCACATAGATCACAAAATTTCGTCTTTCATGACCAGTTTTGGGAATGTGGGGATATAGTTCCTTTTTTAGTCCACTTTATTTCCGACATGTAGGTGGCTGCAGCGGACATTACCACACATAGTCCTTGGCCGTGTACGTCAGCACACACTGTCGACCCATGTACACTGTCGTCAGCTGGCCAAATTTTTTTGACTGCATAAGCAAACTTCATGCCATGAGTGGAACCTGACACCTGAAGATGTCAAGTCTTGAATGCTCATATAATGAACACTTTTGTCCACATTCTCACAGCTATGGACAGGCCCTATTTCTTTATGCATGAACATCGGTGACTCAGGCCCCACCCCCCACCCACCCCCGACCCCGACCCCCTTCTTTCTTTCTCTGCAGGTGTTTGGACTAGCGTCGCTGCTGGACTTCGATGTTGACATCATCGAACCATCGTGCCTTGTGGAATGGAGCTTTTCTGAGAGTTTTTCTGTCCAGATGCTGCTCCCCGTCATCCTGTCGTCAATGGTGAGCCTGCCGTAACCCATTGACGTTTGATCGCCCACGTATGGGAAACGGTGGACTTTGGTGCGATATTGTGGCTGCAATGCCATTGAAGCAATGCCGATCGACATTTCAGCAAATGCTCAGGCGTTAATATTGAAAAGCGTTGATGTGGGTGCAAACGTTGCGTCAATGTTGGTACTGATCTTGCAGCACCTTTGTCTGACGTTGCTTCAATGATATTCTGCACACGCAATGGCACCAACGTCTACCCTTTTTTCTCAGATGCATGGCAAGTGGCCACACATCATAGACTCTGCTCTTCAACATCAGTCTTGTCGAGATTCACTGTTGCATGCGAGGCATTGGACATGCCTGTGCACCACATTGCTCTGCCTGATGCAGCGATGTGTGCGAGGTCCGGATGAAACGGTAGTAAATTGTAGAATTTTCTCAAGTATAGTCAGCAAGATTCGCGCACCGGATCGCAGAGGAGGCATACTACAAGATGGGTCATGCAAAGAAGGACTACGGCGGGGTGCTTAGGTTCAGACATGGCTTCAGCAGTAAACTTCAGCGCAGCGCCTGCAGGTATTCTTTGTGTACTTCATCTCCTGGTCGGCGTTTCACGGCCTGGTGCAGCATGGGAAGAGGTCCGTGGCCCAGCACCTGTCGTGGATTTTCGCTGTCCCTGAATCCAAGGCTGAGCTGAAAGTTCAATGGGACAGAAGTATTGCCGCTGCTCTGGCGTCTCTCGAGGTGACTTTCATCACGATCACCAGGTAGTGCAGACTTTTAGGGTAAGCGGCTTCTGACTGAGCCATTTTTGGAGGTACAATTCTGAACAAGTTGACCTGAGGTAGCATTTCTGAATCCGGCATTCTGTGTGTGGAACAATTCCCTGCATCGTTCTGGAAGCGCAGCGAACGCTAGTTCTTCGTCGCTTTCTGATAAAGGAAATCTGTGCGGGCACTAAGTGACAGCCGCGGCCACAACCGCTTTTTATCGCTGTTATGATCCGTGCACGTGAACCACATCCAGAAATCGGGATAGAGTTGCAGCAACGCTGACAGGCGTTGCTGAGATGAGTTTGTTGATGCGCTGCCTGTCAATAGTGCTGCAATGCCCGTTCCCCAATGTATCAAAAGCAAGAATGGACGTAATACTGATGAGCATGGCGATTCACAAGCCGTTAGAGTTCATGAAACGTTACCATAAATGGCATCAGGTGACAATTTTCCAATATAGCGTGGATGAGTGAAGCTTGCAGCAACATTGGCAGGGAGCGCATCAACAAATCCGTTGCAGCAATGCCCATCAAAATTCCAGGAACTCCGTCCTGATTTCCGTATGCAGGTGGGTCCTCATGAGGACCCACCTGTATCAAGCACAACCGACAATAGCAGCAACTGATCAATTAATTCAAATGATGAAAAATTAGATAGGCGAAGACAGATAGACGAAATTGCAAGTGGGTTGGATTCTTTATTTTGTTTTTTCATGGCAACGAATACCTTGCGTAACAATACAGCACACAAGTATATATTGAATATTATAATACATGAAATGACTCTATGACAGGAGTGGCAATGCGATCACGTCGAGCGCATGCGTGGTTTTTTCTATCGCTTTTATGCTGCCAACTTTGATTTCCGTGAGCATGCACTTCCTCCGTCCCATATAAATGTCCTCTATGATATTGACAAATCACTTGCCCATCATAAATTCATCCTTTTTGAATGAAAATTTTTCAAAGATGCGCCTGCGTTTTCGAAGTACACGGTCAAAATTTGAAATCAATCCGTTAAGTATTGAAGATTTGGCAGTACTTTGTAGTAAGAGCCCTCCAGCCAGAAACCCACCCGTTTTTCGACGATTCTGGTGTCGGCCGCCCATTCACTGATCGGTACCACCTCGGCATGCCCGTCTGTCAGCACAGGTGCGGTTGGCATCAGCTGGCCGCATTCCTATATGGTCGATATCACCGGGCCTGAAGCTCTCTGGCGACGTTTGAATCCTGATGTCCATCGGGTCCCATGGGTATCAGCACCAGAGAATAACGTTTCCGGTGAAACTGGGAACAGTACTTCTGCACAACATACTCTTGACGTTCATCTGGAAAATGATAGAGGTTGATGCAATATAGCGTGGAGAGTGTCATTGATGCAACGGGAACACTACATCCAGGCCAGCGCATAAGTGTTGACGCAACATTCGTACACATAACAGCGCTTGTCAATTTTGACATGTGGTCATTTGCCGAACGAAGCATTGCTCGGCAATTCATCAATGGCACTGCAGCTACAGTACTGCGTCAACGTCTACCAATTTCCTAGAAGTTTCCATGCTGTCAAGTTGGCAGTGGTGACAGTCTCCCGGTCTGTCAAGCCAAAAGTCGCCATTCGAAACAATCCACTGTTGACGCCGCGTGTGGCGACCGATTCCGCGATGTGGGCAAGCAACGGCGCGCACAGCACAGTGCCTTGAAAATGATACTTTCCCTTTAAAGGAAGTGGCAAATGGCATATGGGAAATCACAATATATGACAAATTTGTCATCCGCCGGCTTGATCTGTGGCACTGCATACTTGATTGCAACGCCGAGCTGAATTGAAATTTTCTCCTGTGTGAATAGATGCCGCAGGTCATCGACAGTAGAATACATCATAGAATACATTTCGTGATGCCGTCTGCGATGCCATTCGACAGTTGTTGATGCCATGGCAGTCACTTTGATGCCACCGCGCACACCACGGTTTTGCCATTTTAAGTGTCGAATGGGATCGCAGCTGGCACTGCCAAAATGGTGTGTTCCATTGGTGGTTGCTGGCGTATGAAACACCACACATGGTATTGTTACGGCTAGAACTGATTGAATGTTATTAATAACTGAATGCATGAAAAGATGACGAAGCACTAGGAATTGCATTAAGGATGTTGATGAACGGATTGAGTATAGAGGACAGAACGTCTGTTGTCCTTTTGCCTCGGCTGTAAACCGTTGCCATGGACTCGAGCGTACAATTCCCGTTAAGGGATCGCCACCCCTCGACCCTTCCTGCCTTCGTCAGTATCACAAGCCTCTAATCGCTTCTCGGCTCACGCCTCAGGTACTGCATGGACGTTTTAAATTGCGACAACATCGCGGGGGTTGTGGTGATGAGCGCGGACGTGTCCATCGAGTGTGTGTCCACAGAGTACAAGGCCCTCAGGGTCTTCTCGGTTGTGGGTCTCCTCATCTACACATTTGCCTACATGGCATTCGTGGTCCTTATGATGTTCAGCCTCTTTCGAAGGCAGGCGTTCTCCGATCCCTCCAACATACGCCGCTTTGGCTTCCTGTACACCAAAGTTGAGCTGGACTACCTGTGGATGGAGGTGATAAGTACGTGTGGTGTTGCCGTTGGTCACATGAGCAGATACGGAAGAATTCTGTGAATATTGAAGTCCCTTCAAGCGAGACATCAGCACGAAATACTCGTGACAGAGATGTGGCTCCCATGTGCCACGGACGTTGCAGGATGGGCATTGCTTTTTGTACCGTGCGTGATATGCCTATCCATGTTCGCGGATTCTGTCCGTACAATCTCGCCTTTGCTGAAATGCGTTCTGTTGGTTCATGATTTTGGTGAACACAGTGCTTGAGAGAGCTATTGTGACCGCCGCGAATTCGTGGCCCTTTCGAAAAGGCTGACTCAGAGATGTCTGATCGGATGCCATGGACTGTACCCCGCAAACAAAATTATAGGTGCCCAACGCGTGAGAATTTGTCATTTGTCATTGATGCACCCATTGACGATGCTCGTTGCACGCACAAGACAATTGCCTTTGGTACCTGCAAGTAGATGGCAGCCCCAACCATGAAGGGAGTATTTTTGTGGGTACACATGTTCATCTATCTTGGTAGACATCGGTCCCAAAGAAGCACAATTAACCTCTCCAGCAGCACAGTGGCTTTCAAATTCTCCGCATTGGCTCAACCTGTGTCTTTCAATGACCAAATTCAGCTCTGAGTCAGTGTGCCCACTGCATTTCCGTCTGGGGCCCTGGCAATTTTGCATAACCGAGTTCTCGCGGAACTCCTGTGGAGCTCATTCTCACCCCACTTTGACGGCTAATTTTCAAACGGGGAAAGCTTTCGAAATGGGGACACAATTTTAAAGCCATTGCAGTGCACCATTTGCAGTGTGCATTGCACTGTTTGGAAATTGGGACAGAACATCTGGATTCTGTCGGACCAACAAACATGTGAGCTTGCATGTTCCACCCCGCAGGCCTCGCCGTTCGCATCACCTTCGTGGCGGTGTCCGTGTTCATCGGCGACACCCTGTCGGCCGCCGCCTCCCTCGCCGTGGTCACCATGCTGTGGCTCCTGCTCCACGTCTACTCGGCCCCCTACATTCAGTCAGAGCTGGACGTCCTGCAGAGCTTCCTGGTCGTCTCCCTGCTGGCGCTGGCCTTCGGGGGCCTCATGTTTTTCAACCCTAAACTGGGGGCCGGGAAGCGGCGCGTCCTGGAGAAAGGCATCCTTGCCGTTCTTGCCTTGATGTGGGTGTCCTTCTGCGCCCTATTCGTAAAGGAGATCGTCGGGAAGGTGCAAATACTGGTGAGCGGGTTGACACAAGTAAAAAATGGGCCAAAATACACGGTTTCGAATCGTGGAAATCGCGTGAGGCCGTGTCAAAACGTGCAAAAAGCATGTAAACTCACACGATCTTTGCTACACGATTTAGTACCATTTTTACGATAAATGCACGATTCAACACGGTTTTAACAATATCTTCAATCGTGTTTTAACAATATCTTCAATCGTGTTGCACTGTACACAATTTTCAAAACCGTGTATTTTGGCATTTTTTTGCGAGTGTGTTGTACAACACAAGTTTGTTGCGCCACAAAAGCGGCGCGCAGCATTGCCCATGTTTCTCCAACCAGGCTGCAGGGTTTGACAGCTAAGTATGTACTTAGCTGCTAAGTATGTACTTAGCTGTCAAATCCTGCAGCCTGGTTGGAGAAACATGGGCAATGCTGCGCGCCGCTTTTGTGGCGCAACAGGTTAGGAAACAGGGAGCAATGAAATTCATAGGCACTTGGGGCAACACAGCTCCTGTCAGCCCCAAGGGCCCACGATCCAACAAAAGAACTGTTTCAAGCATGGTATAGCTTTTGAGATTCGGCAGGTGCGATCGCTGAGGATTTGCGCACCTTCTCTACCAATGCGTGGCCCTATTCTAATATGACAGCATTCAATCGAGATGGGGCATGATCATTTTGCACAATTGTCTGCGGGATTTGAGTGCTTGGGGACGCGAACAAAAGTGCTCCAGCAGGCAAGATGATGGAATAATCCACGTGATCGTCTTTCCGGTGCAAGCTGCCGAGCATTATCATCACCTGAAAATCGGGATGGAATTACAGCAGCGTTGCCGGGACTGCATTGCATGTAAATGTTGCTGCAGTCCCCATGCGCCAACATCTTTCAATCAAAAAATTGCCGATTTTTTCTGAGCATGGCGATTGATAGGTTGTTGTAATTCATGCACCATCGGAATCATGGCATCAGGGACAAAAATGCCGATAGAATATTGTACGAGGTTTGTAGCAACATTGACAGTAAACGCATCAACATCCTCGCTGTAGCAAAGCCCCGCAACATTGCCGTAAATTCATATCAATTTCCGGACGATTGTTGCAGCTTGACGCTGCACATTCCCCACGCTGGTGATTCAATCACAAAATTCACACAAGCCACACAACAAACAACTTGCTTGATGGGACAGGCGGCCAAGCATCGCCATAGGCTCGCAGTGGCCAGGGCGATGGGGTGGCCGCAGGAGCCCCGCACCGGGCCCTGGCTCCGCGGCGCCGGGGTGCCCATCAGCACCGAGCTGTACGACACATTCAAGGCGGGATTCATCTACAGGGCGCTGAAGAACGCTGACGCCGAGCTGCTTATGGACTGGGAGGAGCTGTCTCAGATGCTGGCGGACTGGATGAGCAACGACTCGTTCACGTCGTACCTCTCGCTGGAAGTTGTGGCAAGGTTCTGGAGGAAGCTCGTGGGGGGGTTTCCTGAGGTGAGAGGAGGGGGGAATGTGCTTGCGCCCTTGGTCGTCACGCGGCGAAGCGCGGTGGCGCCTGGGCAGAATGCCCATGTCGCATGATGGACAGTGCTGCGCAACAAGAAACCAACAGCGAAGGCATTCTACGTAGAATGCGTAGACGTATTTATATCTATATCTATACGTATCTATGCGTATACGTATACATATCTATGGAGGCTGGCAGATGTACGGATTGGCAGCGCATACATTGGGCAATGTATCCAGAAGTAATATATACACTGATGCTAGTACATATGAGCATCAACACATTGCCGTGCACCCTGCAAAGCCTATGTGGTGGGTGGGCACCAGGCTTGGTTTTTACGCCGTAAAAACTGATCGTATTTACGTTTTTACGCGTAAAAATGCGTAAAAATACGTAAATACAACGTAAAAACTGCCCGGTGTACATAAGGACAGTACATACAGACTTATGGAGTCCGGAGAGCGGCAGCCAGATTCCCTGGAAGGGGTAGAAAATGAGTTTTTGTCAAACACCATCATCGCCCTTGCCAAGGGCGGGGTGGACACTGTGTTGCGGGTGCTGGATATGGCGGAGGACTGATCATTGTACGCAACTTTCATCACGTAATCTGGGCGTCCAAGGGAGCCGTAAAAACGTAAAAATAGCCGTAAAAATAGGGCCTTTTGCAAATTTACGTTTTTACGCGTAAAAACGTAAAAGTAAAAACGTAAACGTAAACGTAAAAAACCAAGCCTGGTGGGCACTGTCAGGCTGTTTTCCGCGGGTCCGTACTTTGTGGCAGAGAACGGACTACTATTTGTTGAATTCCCCTCGGACCGATCAGCGCCGCAAGGTTGCGCTGATGCACGGGTCAATGCTCTGCAGACAATGATTAGCAATAGAACGATGTCTCCGAGGGTCAACTGCAAATTGGTGACAAACGCAGAGCCTTGCCATGACCTCTCGCGTCACGAGTTGCAAAATCTAAATGTCGTCACGCAAATCTACATGTCACTCGATGCTTTCTCGACACCGCCTAATTGGCGCAAACGCAGTGGTGCGCCTATCATATTCTTACCTGCACAACTCAATCAGCAAAACGGAACCAATCTTCAATCAACCCTGTGAATGCGGACTCACGCAATTCGAAGCATCCGACAGAGCTGTGGATTTCCCTCTGTCGAAGATCGTGGATTTCCTAGCCATCGCCGACGAGGAGTCCCTGACACACTTCAGGGAATTCATTGAAGTACTGTACAAGGACTTCTACGTCAAGAAGCACGTCCAGTCGCGCAGTCTGCACGGCCACCTGAACTGGAAGGACAGGGGGCCCATGGCTCTGTGGCTGGCGATGGCGCCCATCCAGGACCGCGCGTTCTTTGCTGGGTTCATGACGGAGGCCTTCAAGCGCGTGCACGGCGCCCAGGCGGAAGCATCGCTGAAGGCAAGGATGCGTTCTCAGCTGTCGAAAATTCTCGACTGCTGCATGTGAAATTCACATTGTGAAACAGTGTGTAGGCGCAGTGGAATTTCTCCCAACACGTGGATCCGATTCTGTAAAACTTTCCCGCATTTAATGGGAGCTGAAGCGGGCGGCATTTCAATCCCACCCCCGTTCAACTTTCTTGGGGCAGTTACCGAATTTTTGAAAATCGTGCTTTTAGGCCCATACAGGTTCCTTTCAACGGTAAGACCATTTCTGGCAGAGAATGGAGCGCTTCGTTGCAGGGTGCAATTGTGGTCAACTGAACCCAATGCTTTGGCATGCACTGCTCACACGACCTTGCCACCCGACTGAATGCGCAGCGTGAAATTCATAGATCGTTAACTACGTTAATGCCAACCATGTCAACAGAGTTCAAATTACCAGTGAGCTTTGTGGCGATCCTTGGCAAATAGCTATCAAGAGAAATTGGTTCATCGACCGCTGTGGAAACCTCAAAATTTTTAATGCGCTTTCGAACATGGATGCTCCCTTCAGGGTGGACGCACCATCCTGCTTGACATAAGAAATGCGTGGTGAAAGTACAGGCTATGAAACCTGTGCAGCAACCATGGTTTAGACTGCTCAACACCTTCTCATTCCCATGCCTTGGTTTCGTATTTGCCCAGCATATCTTGCACGGAGCTTCCGCCACTCCTCAGTGCTTTCCTATCCCTTTCGTATTCGAAATTGCGCATCTGTTGCAGCACACCCCGGCGCCTGAGCCCTCGACCAATGCTTTGGCCCACTGGTCTGCTCGCAGCTCGAGGGGAACGGAAAATTGGCCCCCATGGCGCCCGCGGCATCATCTCTCCCCAGGGGCCTCGTGAACTCCTTCCCAGCCGTTCTGTCCAACATCGGCATTGAACCGTTCCTCAACGAAATCGTCCAGAACCGGGGTCCCCTGTCTCACTGCTCCCGAGGATGCGCCGACGCTTCCGCATCAACGGCTGCCCCCAGCAGGTCGCGCAGCGCCGCTTGCTGCTCCACATGGGTTCCCCGCGCAAGGGGCCACGCATCGAATTCCGCCGCCACCGCGACCAAATCGTGCTGCAGCCTTCGCAGATCGACGTCTGGAGCACGGCAAAAGGATGGCAAAACTGCATCTGGTGCAGTAATGAACCTGGATCCAGAGGAGGGGCAAGCGGGGTGCACAGAAGCTGCGCCTGCATGTAGTTCACGGCAAGGCGCGGAGGACATCACGGGGCCTCAATGATCGTGGCATGGATGCTGCAGAGACGCCACAGCCTGTCCCACGGTTGTTCTATACGAGCGACGGGGCGGCGCAGGAGCTGTGGGGGAGCCTGAGCACATTCGACGGGCTGCCCTGTGGATTGGGTGGCCACCGGCTGCAGAACAGCCCTGCAATCTGGGTGGGACGGAGTGCGAAGAAGTGAGACGCCCAGTGGCGGAATCGGTAATGGACACTTGGGGCATGGCGAAATGGATTTGACGCCACTGCGTAGTCTGATGAGAACTAAAGATTGGGCAAGCGTTCTGCGCTCTTTGGCGAGGGGCGTTTGCACATCTTTTTCACAATGCAAGGGAGAACTATGTGTATTTCGATACCAGGAGAGGCAAGAGAGTAAATGAGCGGCACCTGTCGCATGCACCTCTCATGCAGTGCGCCACGGTCAAAACAAAAAGGACCCTGTTGCACGTAACTGAAAGATATCGCAAAAAAATTGTTTACCACTTTTAGTTGGATTTCTGAATAAGAAATTGGAATTTGAATTTCACACCAGTTTCAAAAAGCGGCACACAATTGCAGAAGCCTCTTGGCATCATTCTTCCTTCTCCCAGCCAGAGCTAGAAATCGCTTCAACTGAAACTCCTTCTCGCCCCGCTGCCGGTCTTCCTTGATCGAAGCAGCGGGGGCGTGACCAACGCTCCATTCATGACAGCCACAGTGTCCTTTTGTTCATAGTAAAAATGCAATGCGAGGGGTATTCTGTTGCGCTATTGTTTTGATGCTGATGCATACAGCATGTGAATGTACGTGTGCGGTGCTTTGGCTGCAAGCGTAGCCAGTTATGGTCTGGGCTTCGTGTTCTCTTGCTCCATTTCCACGCCTTTTATTGCATTTTGCGCCCATTTAAACACCCAGCCGTAGCCCCTCCATGCGTCCGGTCACTACTTTCGGAATGAAATCATTTTATGCTCCTTCTTAAAGAACTTGGGCCCGTTGACCCCGTTGAAATGACCAAGAACATGGCACTGTTGGATCTGAGCGATATAAATTACTTGACTGGCATTAATCATTATGAAATCCATCATATGGGAATCCTCATCAATTTTACGCAATACAAGCCACAATGCCGCCTATCGAAACACCAAACTGGGTTTTTCTCTATGATGGACAAGCAGATGGACATCGCACCTGCGTACCTTGTGCAATAATGGCGCAGCATTGAAGCACGCTGTTGAAGGTTTACCTCACAGTAATACATGCAGTTTCTCGTGCATTTGCAAATGATTTGAAAGATTACAAGGAAATAGACATACCCCTCCAGTGCCAACTTCCAACACGTGTCTCCCACAGTCCATAACGTTGCCTTGCACATTGATTGCACTGGCCACCCGACATCAGAAGTGCCAAATGCGTTTTGGCGATCTATGAGGCATGTGCCTGTGCCTTACACAAATCAACCTCGTGTAATTGCATAATGGATATGTGGCGGCGCTTGTTGGCGATGCCAAGTTGCAGTGTGATGGCGTGTCGGCGTGATGGTGTGGTGGCGGCCCTGTGGCGATGTTATGTCGCCCTCAAGGCTATATTGCCCGTGCGTTCAGCCGAACAAATCAGAGATGGGGGCAGTGACGTTTGTAGTTGCCCTGGCTGCCACTTCCCTGTGCACCATGGTGCTGCGGAAGCCTTTGCATACGACGCCACTGCCCAACCTGTCAGCCAGTCCGCACTTCCAAACACGTGATGCGTTGGTCGGTTGTGATGCCAAAGCAATCGACGGAGACTTTGCTTGATGACAAGGCGACTGCGATGAGAACCGCATTTCAGATTGAATTGCTGCTCGGCAGGACACGTGGGGCTGCAGAATATCCATACTCATTGAAATGAGGATGGATGTTGAGCTAAGGTCGAAGATTCCAAACGCGACATGGAGACAGACATACTAGATCGTCAACCTGAAGATCCCAAGGAAATAGGCTGGAGCTGGAGCACATAACAATTTTGTTTGCATTCAGATATCTCTGCTACTGTGGCGACGGTTGTTGCCCCTGTTCATGTAGTGACATTCGGTAGGAGTAGCGTTCTTCTCAGTAGCCAGAAAAGGTAGGGCATTTGAGACACAGAAATAAAATTGACTTTGGAGAAGAGATTTGAAGTGTATCTTCCGGGCTGTACTCAAAGCCCAAGTCGTTGGCGCCAGATTTGCAAAGTTTTTGATGTTTCTGTGGTGTGCTTGGAAAATATCAAAATACAAGGTCCAATGACGGTTCAGAATTAATTTAAGGCAACAAAATTTTCTATAACGCATTGCTGGCGAATCTGGTGGTGGTATATTCAAAATTTGGAACATTGCAACAAATGCACCTGCAGGACATTGTAGAAAATTCCGTTGCCAGATATTGAGCGTGGGGTGATACAACACATTGAGAATTCTTGAAAGCACGAAATGGTGCGATAGAGAGGTCACTCATGTGGGCATTATAGTGGTGTTGAGAAGACAGTGCACGTGTGAGGTTAAGAATATATTTGTATCAATGAAATGGTTTAGAAATGTGACCAATCTAAATTGGTTATAGGATATCAGTTTCCTTGGCAAAGGTAGATTTGTAGCCATGGTGGTATTGCAGTCCAAGTGAAGAAATCGTGTCACACAATGGGAAATTCGGAGATTATAAACCAGCCCATATTTTCCACCTGAATGAAATAGCTCCTTTTTGTGAACTATAGAGGTGGCCACCCGGATCCGTTAATAACGGACAGAGGTTAATTCCGTTAATTAATCCGTTAATTAACGGAAAATAACGGAAAAAGACAAAAATTAACCAAAAATTAACGGATTTTTGGATTTTTTTGGGATTTTTGGGTTTTTTTCATACTTATAGTTTATGGAATTCGCTATTAGAGAGCATGTTTGTATTTTATTTCAACCTATGCATACTAGATTTTTAACTAGCCGCGGTTGTTGTGATTTTTTGGGTTTTTTTTCGATTTTTTTGGATTTTTTTTCGTTTTTTCTGAATTTTTCTCCCTTTTTTTGCAACGGAATTTAACGAACAGCTGATAAAAATTAACGAACCGGATTTAACGAAGCGGATGGCATCTTGAATGGCCACCTCTAGTGAACTAATGCTACAATGCACGTACATCACCAGTGCTGAAGGGTGGAAGACTACAAGTGTTGTGTAGCACGTATTCATATACCTATAGGTCATAAGTAAAAAATAGGCTAGATGACACTGTCTGCGAAAACGTGTATTGTGTAGTACCAAAAAATACTGTGTACTAAGCCATGTACTTTTAATAGGTTATTTGGTAGTGTCCAAAAAAAGCATGTAGTTATAACCAGAAATGTGTAATGTGGCTTGTAAAATGTGGGCTTTCTAAGCCACCGTGACGAATTGTGTATTAAGTGTGTATAGTCCGTGTCTAAAATGTGTACATGTTTCATACAATATGTATATTTCGACCACCAAGAACGAATTATGTACTAATTGTGTTTGATATGTGTCTTCCCTGTGTACACAGTTTCAAATATTGTGTACTTTTCTACATTGTACAATGAACTTTGCGCTATGTGTATACTACCAATATATCCAATAGCTTATCCAACCCTATTTATTTGGGCCCAAAGTCAGTAACCACATTTTTGATCATGGTATATTTTCCCCAATTATGTGCACTATCAACCAATGTTGCATGTCAATAACATGGTTGTGTTGGGTGTGTCTGAATATCCAAATACTTCCTCCGTCCGAGATTAATTGTCCTCTATTTAAAAGATAAATTTCGTTACCTAAACCACTTCAAAAGTACTAATCAAGGTCAGAATCGAAAAGATTGGGTCCCAAAACCCATGACTACCAATTTTTGTGAAAAAATACTTATCCCCACTACCTTTGACAGCCCCCTAAAATTGCCTAAGATTTGGCCCAAAATTGTGCATTATGATTCAACGTCCGTCAGAGATCCACATGGTTCTGGATCGTTCCCCCCCAGGCATGCCAAACCAAATTTGTGCTTGCGATCGCAGCGAAGGGCAGCGTCCCTCTCGTGGTTTAGCACCTGCTAATCATGCTCAACTGTGTTTGGATCCCTACAGAATAAGCCCGTTGTCACAGCATCGATGATGGCAGAAATCGCAACCCTCCTGGATCTCCGATGCAAAAACTTGCCATAAGTGGAAAAGGCAAACACCCAACACGCTCAAGCTTGGGCTTTGTGCGTGCTATCGTTCTAAAGTTGTGCTATAATTTTTCTCTAAGATAGCACCTCGATTGATCTTTGAATCGAGGCCTTCGTGTGTGGCTGGGCCCACACAACCGAAATTGGCACTAGCGGCCAACTGGTACGTTCAATCCGCAACCCTTCCCAATCTGCATTATGCAGGCTATGATAGTCTCTACTTGTCAGAGAGACACAAGATGATCTATTTGATTGTTTGCTTCACGTTCCACCTTTTCAATTATCGCGGCAAGGGTCGACTTTGCCATCCCCCCAATGCAAGCCATTCACCGAATCGTTCGCCATCGATTAGGGTGATGCCATCACATTCCTTCGCACCTCTTCAAGGGGTTTGGGGGGCCTTGCGCAGTATCTCTCATAGCAACGATGGAGTTCCAAAGGTCACGGCCCAGAAATCTGGGCCGGGAATGCAACCCCGAACTAGCCAATCAATCTCGAATTAAGTCAGCGAAGCCACGGCGACTTCCACGATCAAGCCCACCAAAACACGTTTTCTGCCGCTTTGCTTGTTCGCAGGGACCCCTCCAAGCTTCTGTCCAAACGGCATGGATAGTTTTGCATGGACGGTCTTGTTTGGCTGCCGCAAAGTCGTGCTCCTCACCATCACGAAAAACGGCTGTTTCGGTGACTATGTTGACAAATGGGTGGGTTTATGGTGGGAGGACCCTACTACAAAGTGCTGCCAAATCCTCAATACTAAACGGATTGACCTGAAATTTTGACCGTATACTCCCAAAACATAGGCATACTGTTCGAGTGCCATGATGTTACAAACAGCTGACAAGGACCGACAGGAGGATGTCTACACTTAGGAACAGCAATATGGCTCAACGATCAGCCATATGCGCTCGATGAGAGTCACCAAAAACACAGCCACTATCACAGCCCTGTCAATCGCCCCCGATTTCTGAACGTACCACTCCTACACTTTTAACAACTTAGCTCATAGAAGCTCACAGGACAAAGAAAACCGCCATAGCATGCACATTCAAGCCCAACAGGACTCTTGGGGTATTGTCAAGCGCTGCCGAAGCGAGGCGCAACCCCAGCACTGAATTTCTCTCAGCTGCTTAATGCTCTGCCTAGCAGCGGTAATTCATCACCGGTCAACGAGGCGACTCCCTTCGCCGCCTTTCACAGCTCCTGAAACTTCGTTCAGTAAGCCGCCAGCACTTCAAAAGACTCCACGCAGCTTTGCCATCGTCGCGCACTGGTCGTTCACCAGAAACTTCCTTCCAATCCACTCGATAGTCAAATCGCAGGCGGCAAAGACGCCACTGGACAGCTGCCAGCACTCCGCCTCGTTTCCGTCCCCACAGCGTAGAGTGAACGCGAACGTTCCCTCCCCCTCGTCCGCCGCTCGCCAAGCCGCGGTCGAGTCCACGGCCCCGAAGATCCATCGGTTAGGGAGGCCGGAGCCGCGGATGGCGCCCCATGCCAAAGCTCCACCGGCCCCCGCCTCGCAGCCCTGCTTGACGAGAAAGGCTGCCTCACTCGGGACGAGGGCCTGCCCAGCTCGCGCGTTCCTCGTGCGGCCAGGTCTGGATGCACCTCGCCTTGTCGCGGGATGGGCGCCATCCATCGAGTGGGGATGTGGCTGGGCCCTGCCATCGCCCCCTCGCCAAACTCCCCGTCTGCGTCGCGACACGCCGGGACCCAATCCGGCAGCCTGCTCCTCTTGACCCGCACCATCAGCCCATCTTTCAGTGCTTTCCGCGGTGAAACGGCAGCGTCGCTCCGTTCGGACCAGTCGCAGGTCGCGGGGCGCGGAGGCCTTGTGGGCGCAGGATGCGGGGATGTGACGAACGTGTACGACGCAGTACAATACAAAAATTACCAAAGGGCAGTTTCCCATACAGTTGGTAAGCAACAAAGTATTGTCAGCAGCCGCACACCATGTCCCATCACGACTCACTGAACCCTTACGTCCTGTCAGTACCTGTCCTGTGAAGGTCTTAGGACCTTTTGAAAAAGTCCAGGTCCGTTGAATGACAACCCCTACGGTCCATGGCGTCCTCAAAAGGGGCCAGAATTTGGCCTTCTTTCTCTGCGAAAGTCACCCAAGAGCTCCCTACGAACAGACCAGCCTTTTTTTCAAGGGCGCTTTCCATCGGGCCTGTACACACTACGGCCCCTTTCTTTCCGTCTGATGTACCTATAGCCTCAATTCTGTGTACTGGAAATGAGTGACTCAAAACTGTATTGCATCCCGTCAACCTAGGGGTCCAACCAAACTAGTTACTGCCCTTTTCCTTGGCAAAATGACAGCGCAGCCGTAGATGACCGTGCTGCCCATCGACTGGCCTTAAAATGACCCAAACTACACAGGTTGGGCTGGCTCTGATTATCCCAATCACAGATTCACAGAATAGGGGACATCTAAGCCTAGACCGCTTTGAGTCAACTGTACTGGAATGTAGCTGACTGCGCACACGTTTTTTCTTGTGTACTGAGCAGTGATAGGACTATCGAAATCAGCCATCTTTGTGCGTTTCAAGGGAAAACTGGCCGACTACGTCCGTACTCTTTCCCACCATCTTTTACTCGATTACAGCGATGGCCATTAAATTGAATAGATTGAGCTGTAATCGAACAATACCATTGGTAGAAATTTCATTGGAAAATGAAGCATCTGTGATGGAGATGAAGGGAGGCAAAGTCATAGAGGACAATTTATCTTGGACGGAGGAAGTATGTTGGTTTGAGGTCGATTTCTACGGCCCAAAGTTGCGCGATGCTCTCTTGGAAATGGGTGCCATTTGCCAGAGGACCACCTTGAGGGGGCGGTGACGGGGCAACCCCGCTGTACTTCGGATGCTGCAGGAAGCTGTCCGACGGTGAAAAGACACCACCAACGGGCGAGAATCTAGATATCCTCCAGCCCTGCCGGGTCCTGCCGCCTCGGTGTTGGGAGGCAGGCACGCACGGGCGCGGGGCCGGGGTGACGCCGCGGCCAGCGTGAAAGCCAGCCCCGCGGCCTCCGCCTCCACGGTCTCCTGCCTGAAGGTGCGCAACGGCGCCATCCGCGTGATCGTGCAAGTCAAAGGCAACGCGTGATCAACCCCACCTCGCTCGAGAAACCCTAGGTTGGCAGTCGCGCGGGCAGCATTGCGGTCGCATTCGGTTGCGAAGATCGGTGTCGCGGCGCGATGCGTCAAACGTGGTCCATCCTCGCTTCCGCCGAGGGCGCCCGGTTCCCGGGCGAGTTTGCATGCCGGCGCCGGCCCCACCTGGTCCCCGAATACAATTCTGCCCTTTCGCTCGATTCCAACTCAAACGCTCGTAAAGGCCGCCAGGGGCGTCAACCCTCGACCGGAGATCCCCAAACTTACCCCAAATCTGTGGTGAACCCCCAAATCCACAGCCCTGCTCTCTGGATCTACGCCTGCTTGATGATGGCCCCACATAACCCGCTGACAACTCCTTCCTCACCCGTTGCGCAGGCCCACTAGGCCGCCCCAGCCCTTCCCCTTCAATAAGATGCCGCCGGAGACGGCCCCCACCGACGCGGCCCCGGCTGCCCCGCCGGCCCCCGCCGCCAACGGCCTCCCACCCCCTCCCGGACCCCCGCCCGGGGTCCAGCCGTCAGATCCGCCCCCACCTACCTCGCCCCCCCCGGCTTCGCCACCCACCGTCCACGTCGCCCACCCCCTGGCCAAGCCGAGCGCCCTGCCCCCCAGCGCGCCTCCCGGCGTGGCCCCGGCGAATGGCCTGGCCTGGCTCGCCAACGGCGGCACGCCTGCCAATCCTCAGCCTCAGATCGGCAGCCCTTCACAGGGATCTCCGCCTCGAGGCCCCCCGTCGCCCTCTGGTGCTCCTCCCGGTGTGAACGGCCCTCAATCTCAAGAGGCGCCTCAAGTGGGTGCTCCTGCATCCCCGCCACAAACCTCGCCTGCGCAGGGTCCTCCGGGGGTCAAGCCGCAGCCACCCCCTGCATCTGGCCCTCCCAGTGGGCCTCCTGCTGGAGGCCACCCCAATGGAGGGCCTGCCACTGGGCCTCCCATGGGAGGGGCCCAGAATGAGGTGCCTGCAGGGCCACCGCCCATGGGGGCATCAGCAGGGCCTCCTGGCATTGCAGCTGGTGATGGGCCTCCTAGCGGCCCACCTACTGGGCCACCTTCTGGACCACCTACTGGGCCACCTACTGGGCCACCTACTGGGCCACCTACTGGGCCACCTACTGGGCCACCTACTGGGCCACCTACTGGGCCACCTACTGGGCCACCTACTGGGCCACCTGCTGGGCCACCTACTGGTCCACCTACTGGCCCAACTACTGGGCCCCCTTCTGGCCCACCTACGGGTGTGCCTGCAGGTCCGCCAAGTGGGCCTCCAAGCGCCGGTAGGGGCCGCGGCGGCCCGCCGGATGGCCCGCCGTTGATGGGCCCCATGGGGAGGGGTGGCCCCCCGCAGATGGGGAGGGGACGAGGTGGGTGCTGGTCTGGAGGGTCGCAGAGGTGTCGATCGGTGCATATGTCTGTGGACAGTCTGCAAGTTGGTCTATTGCAGTTTTCAATGATGGTCTGGGTGTCCCAGTTGCAGTTTCCACTGCCGCATCGCCTATTGAGTGTGTAGAGAAGGCTTGGTGTTGCAAGGCACTGTTCTGTTTATGGATCGCATGACAAAACATTGCCATGTCACCCATTGGGATTTCATGTGCCTGCCAAGTGGGCTGGCTGGCTGCCATTTTAAGCAGGGTCTCTAATGTCTTAGTTGCTGTTGCTGAAGGGATGCCCCCAGGGCCGAGCTATGGAAGAGGCCCTCCTGGTGGCGGTTACGGTCCCCGGGGACCTGGGTACGGTCAGGGAAGCAGCAGCGGACCAGGAGGATGCAGCGCTGGGGGCGGTTTTGGCAGAAGTTATGGCCCAGGACGCTCTCAGGAGGGAGGGTGTGGAGGGAGGCGTACTGGTGGAGGCACTGAAAACTTCAGGAACCTGGGTGACGAGCTGGCTGGGGTGATGTTCGGTGAGGACTCCTGGACATGCATCATCTGGCGCTCAGTATACTCTCAACCTGACCTTGCAGAAGTCAGATGGTTCACATGGATTCTGCTTTTGCCTTTGTTTGGGCATCGTGCAGTGGCAATAAGTCCAAGTTTGCAGCATGGCATTGGAACAGGATAATATGAAGTAGCCAGTCTCTAAATTCGCGGATTGCATTTGTATGGCTTGCTTGATAGACTGGGATCAATGAATGCCACTGAATTTGTATGTGTGTCCCAAGCACTGTCTGCAGCACTGTCCTGAAAGGGGTTGCCCTCATGGACTGCTTTGAATTCATCACTATGAGGGCCTGATGCATTGGGCAGCCTGCGAAGTGTACCCAAATGGAGGTACTGGTTTCTAAATGCGTTCCCGCAGCTTGTGGATTGCCAGTGGGAATGAATAGCCTGTTGGGCTTCAGCATGGCCAGTTGTTCTCCTTGTGACATCGTTTGTGCTGTCACACTGGCTGTGTGTGGTGTTACTTGTGCAGCTTGCAAGCCAGACACCTATGATGAGTGTGTCAACAACATGCTGTTTGGGATGCCAGCGCAGCATTGGCCATATGTAAAGAACATTCGTGCTGGGTGAGTTTCCAGGACGGAGAAGCTTACGATGTGCTGTGTTGACCTTGCTTGTGCAAAGTGGTTGGGTCATGTTGAGCGGTTTTGAAAGAACTGCAGAGAAATTACTGGTGGTGCTGTCCTTATTACTCATGTCGCAATCGAGGCAGATGGCTAGACGTAGAACAGCCTGGATGCAAAGCTGGCTTTGTGTTGACAAGGAGGTTTGGACACCTGCTGATGGCGCTGCAGTCCTAATGCATTGGACAACTCACACGATGCGCAGCACGGTGGTAGAGGAATATGAGGACAATGAATTCAGCTCTTTGTGGGCTGTGCACAGGATGCCATTGTTTCTGTTTGATTTCAGCCGCAAGGTGCTGTATGGAGGGTTCAAAGCACAGGATGCTCCACCACAGGACCAAACGCCCATAGACCCTCAAGGTGAGAATGTTGCTTGTGGCGTATCCCATTGCTTTGGATGATTCCCATGCTTTGCATTCATCCAAATATGACAAAATACTGCCCTTTCACTTACCAGACGAGTGCAATTATGCACCGTTATCATATTTTCATTCCTCTTCCCCACTGATATGTGCTACTGTCAGACATTGAATGTGGCAATAGCTGCTCTTCAGTAGCAATCCAAACGCGAGTTTGTTTGATTATTGCAATTGCTTATGAGTAGCAAGGATCTGCAGATTTTTGCTATCGCGGTTGACATCTCTGCACACTTTTATGCTGTTTGTTACTCGAAGTGCAATATCAGAGCCAAAGAAAGTTAGAAAATGTGAATTGGGCCACGGCCCCAACCAATAAATACCCATGCTTCGGTGCCATATGTCACTGCAACGTCCTTTCCACTCCAGCTGTTTTTTCTTATTTTGGATTGGAAAATATTATATCACATTTCCGTGTCCAAGGGCTTCCCCTGTCCTATCGCATGATATGTGTGCCATCTAGCAAGAGGGTGCAAGGCGATGTCGGGACCCCAAAAATGTTCGGCTCCCAAAGAAAGCTCAATCCCAAGAAAGGAAAAGGAGAAGCTTGGCACTCCGGGGGGCCCCTGGCAGATCAGCAATCAAAGTAAATCGAAATTGTCTACATGTTTGTTCTAATGAACCAAGATGAGAAACTTGTGCTTATGTCCGACCCAGCACCCAGCACCCACACGTGACAGTCCCATCATCCCACACAGAACCGTTTCACGAAAATCCAGTCCCTGTATAATGCATCGATTCCCTTGATTAAAATCGTGCAGCCCCAGCAGTTGAGTATGCAAAAAGATTACCCATGATAAAAATCATCCACAAAGGAATCATACACAACCAAGCGCATCAGTCCAGAGAAGCAGCCGTGCGCATCGGCCAAAACTGTCTTCCAGGACCAACGAACAAGCTCCAAGACTGCAGCCGTTGCGGGAGAGATCATCAGATTCTGTGCATCGTTTGTAAGGCTTGGCATCGACCTCGTTTTCTGTGATGTGTCCAGGGTGGACTGGCTCCCAGCAAGGGAATACAAAATATCCTGCTCAGGTAATTGCCATTGAGATGTGGGTGAGCTTCACTAGCCCAGATTGCGTTTGCTGGCTGATGTTGTCATATCAACTCCTCTTTGTGTGGCCAAGCGGTGCTTGAACCACAAGGCTTGCACTACCCTTCTGGAGGGTCATCTGGGCTTTGAAGCTTGTGTCTCTTATCTCTCACTAGGGGTGACAGCAGTGATTGCTTACCTGGTTGCTGGATGTGATGATGTGCTGTGAAGGCTATCTGCATTTACTATCTGCAGTTTTGCAGTGGCACAAGTCACAAGCACTGGGGCTTCTGAAACCCTCCTGGAGGACTGCTAGGCATCAGACATTGTCATGTCTGCTTGGTTGCGGGTTATCTGCCAACAACAGAAGCAGCAAGGCTAGCTGTCCAGTGTCCATCGACAACTGGTGTTCCTATTTGTTCATAGCCATGTTGCCCATACTCCCACTTTGCAACAGTTTGTGCAGCAGCTGAATCTTTTGCTTCATTGGTTGTTGTTTTACATCACGCCAGCGATGCAGTCATCAGCCCAAGGCATGTGCAGGCATGTGCACTGCAGGACAGTGGGCTCGATCTGGGTTGATGTTGAATCTTCACCATGCCGCTAGCATGTGCAGTGTGCTTTGGGGTGGTGTCAAGTCCTTTAGCATTATTGGAAAGTGGTGGAACACTGCCCTTTGTGGTGATGATGGGCATAATTCTGTCCCTAGAATGTCCCAAGTACCATCTTCGGGATATATTCATCCCAATCTGTCTACAGCCCTATTCTGCAACCTTCATTTGGAACCAAATGGACATTTGCATTTTGTGGACAGGTCAAGGTGGAAAGACAGGAAGACATGGACAATGTGCCGCCAATGTTGATGGATGAGCTGCGTCCCTTGATTGACGACAACTTTTTCAAGTAAGTTTAGTCTCTGATGCTTATGTCGCACTTTCCTGCCAGAGTGCATGACAGCCTTCTACAGCATGCACTTCTATGGGAAGGAGACTCACAGATTCTTGTTGAGGTGGGCAAGTTAAACCTGTTAAACCTGTTTATGGTGCTGCTCCAAAGACAAGTTCAGCACAATGCAAGCAAGCAGAACAATGACCTGGATTTGATTCCATTCGTTATTGTCTTATGGCTGGGCTGTCTTCAGTCTATTTGAAGGCATGCTGCCAGCTATCGTGCCCGCAGCCCGAAGGAATTCGCCTTCAATGCGATGCCTTTCTTGTTCCCCTTTAGCTAGCAATGACTAATCAGAGAAAAGCAAAGATTAATGTGCATTGGATGCCTGTCGCATACCCAAGACACATTCTCTAGTCTCTAATTAGCTGAATATGCATCCCAACACTGAACTTTGTTTCTTGCAGAATTTGAGAATATCAATCCCAGTATGCGTTGTAATCTGTATCTAAGAGAGATTATTGAGAAGTTTCTGAGCACTGCATAGTGAACAAATATTTCAACAATGTTTCAACAGTGGCATATCTGATTCAATGTTGGTCCCTGTGCAAGAGATGACCATCTACAATGCAAAATGGTGTCCAAGAAACTTAGGCACAGCGATCTGATCCATTTGCTGACAGAAAATTTAGGGCTCGGACTGCTTGGATGCCTAGCACTGGTTGTGTTGCATATTCAAGATGGTCCAAGCAGCTGTGCCTTCCCCTTTGCGGACCTGTGCAGAAAGTATTTGCAAGGGTGATAACATGTGAGGCAGTGGGCAACACCCTAATGTGCAAAAATGATGTTGAAACTCGTTTCAATGCTTTGAGAGATGCTGTGGAAGTCTGGGATTGCAGAACTGTGTGGTTTCTGTGTTTGGTTTTCATTGCAGCAAAGAGAAGGGTTTCTTTTCAAATGAGCTCACTCAGGAACAGGTGGATGCGCTGACTAACAAGTTCAACGAACTGAAGGTCGCATTTCCTGAGGGCAGGCAATTGCCAGAGCCAAGACCACAGGTAATCAAGCTTTATGGCCAGATTGGTTTACTCTGTATTTTGGCTGATGGGCCAGCCAGAAAACGAGCATTGCAACCCACAACATGGGTGGGCAGGCGGATAGGGTAACACATAGGGGCCTGGGCATTGTCTCTGATTGCGTGGAGTTGCCGTGGTTGTGAGAAAGATACGCACATCAGCCATCGCCCAGGTCAAGTTTGCGATTGCAGTCAAATTCATATGCTGGCTGGCTGGTGTGGGAAGTGATTGAACTCCGGGCTGCACGTCTGTCACTAGCATGATGTTGTTTGTGGTTATGGGGGTTTTGCTTGATGCGACTTTTGCATATGTTTTGGTGCTTCTGTGTGCCTCAAGTCCTTGCCATTTGCTTGGGAGTGCTTGCGACAAGTTGGTTGGTTGGTGGAAGCCCTTACCGGCAACGTGAAAATCGACACACTGTCATGTCCCGTGTCTGCTGAATCAGATAGTCACACAGCGACCCTCTGCTAGCGGTCCACAATAATTGGCCCACAAAAATACCCCCACAACATCAAGGAACACAATGCACACAGGTCAACAGACAGCTGTGACAGACTGGTATTGTTGCCTGTGCTTGGTGCAGGGCCCTGGAGGCCAAGGGCGTGGTAGGGGCTACAGCGGACGCAATGGTGGGAATTTTGGAGGTCCAAATGGCGGCAGGCCTGGTGACGGTGGCGGAAGGCGTGGTCAGGGCGGTCTTGGAAGAGGGGGACCTGTACGAGGCTATGGCGGAGGAGGCTACGGTGGTGGAAGAGGCTACGGCAGTGGAGGAGGCTACGGGGGCAGTGGAGGAGGCTATGGGGGCAGTGGAGGAGGCTATGGGGGTGGTGGAAGAGGTTATGAGGGCGGTGGAGGAGGCTATGGTGGCAATGGTGGGGGTTATGGAAGAGGAGGCTTCCAGGATGGCAGAGGGGGCCTGGGGCCGGTGAATGGTGGCAGGGGCCGGGGCTTTGCTGGCCGCGGCCGTGGAGCCCCGCCACATGATGGCCATGGAATGGTATGTGCGTTGCCTGTCTGGAAGGAGAATATGTACCTTGGGCACTTGGTGAAGTAAAGTGGTGATGTTGTGTGCCGCTGGTGATGTGCACTGTTGCCTGCTGCATAAGTACTATGCCATCTGTTCTGCTTGTGCATGCCATTCCTGCTGGTGGGGTTCTGCGTTAAATCTGATGGCATGGAACAGAGTGTATCACTGAATACTTGCATTGGCAGGTTTTGCCAGGCTTTTGGCATGTTTGTTTTATTCACTTTGCAGGCCACTGTTGGGTACCTGCTTAGTGCCTTGAGGCTGCATTTGTATGCAGTCACCAGGACCACTCTGTGTTAGCCCTCCTTGACTCAGACTTGTCTAAATGTGGCAAACCCCTGCCCTTGCCTCTATTTGGTGTTATCAGGCACTGTTTAGCCACACCTGTTGGTTTGCAGGACGATGTTATTCATGCTCCCCACATAACGGGCTAGGCAATCTGGACGAATCTTTACCACCTTTTGCTCCGTACATGCCATGTTTTGTATACAGGCCCATGGTGGCGCACCCAGTACCTGGTATTGCAGAAGCCATCCTGGCAGAATGCTACCTATCATCTCTCCACTGCATTGGCTGTTCTTGACTGCAGCTTCTCTAGCCCAAGGCTGCTGCAGTGTTTGCATCTCTGATGGCCTTGGCATTTCTGTGCCAATGCTGCTCCGCGTCTGCCTCAAATACATGCTCTCTTCACATTGGCAGTTCCCATCCAAAAGCCACTGTTTTGCCCGCATCAGGTTCCAGCACTGGGACTGATTTTGATGCGACTCTTGCTGGTGCCGCAGGTGGGCATGCACCCCATGGCGCGAAGTGCTCATCCTGGGGGGCCACCAAACGGCCCCCCAGGCAGCAGGCAGCCACAAGGCGGCGGCCGTGGCAGGGGCGGGCCCCCTCAAGGCCCTCCCATGAGCGCTGGGCCCCCAGGTGGGCCCCCAACTGGGCCCCCAACAGGGCCGCCTCCAGGCAGTCAAGGACCACCCAGGGGCCCGCCCAATGGCAGGGGCCGCGGAAATGGAATGAACGGCGGTCCCACAGGCCCCCCGCCTGGCGTGCCACCGCCCGTAGGCCCCCCAGCTGGTGTTGCAGGCGGCACGGGCAGGGGCCGTGGCGGTCCGACGACCAGGCCTCCTCAGTACGGCGGGCCTGGCGGCGCCCCAGAAGGCCACAACGATGGCAGCTACAACAGCCAGGACGGCTGGTGATCTGTGATCTGTGATGTACGATCTGTGATCTGTTATTTGTGGTCAGTGAACTACATGATTGGGGAACATGTGGCTGTAGACCACGGGGGGAAAGAGTGAGCGGAGCAGCTGTAATCTGTGGACTGCCGATGTGGAAACAGAGAGAGAAGTGTAGGCACACGGAGGTGCTTCTTGGATGGGGGTGGATAACACTGGGGACCAAACTTGCTGTATCTCGGCAATGGGATAGTGGGAGACAAAGCCTTACATTTTCTAAGTTGGGGACATTGTGTTGGTGATCCCCAAGTGGGCGTTTGGCACTTGTTACTGCAAGGGAGATGATCGAAAATGGTACTTCTGCTTTGCTGGTGCCGCTCAAGAATTTCGAAACACTTGGTTAAGGATATGCCAAGGGTGGGTTCTGAGGGGTTTGCCATATCTTTGCTAAGGACCTGATCTGCTCACGCAGAATGCGCCCAGAAAATGGAAATAAATGTGCAGTGGCCCAACCGATGTTTCCAGAAAACTTAACATCGCCCTCTGATCTGTGTCTGAGAAGTATCTGGAGAATGGATTGACTTGGGAGAGGTGGGGTATCGATTCCTGGGCTGACTGACATTTGGGGTCCTGTTAGTTGTTCCGTTGATGGTGGCTGGCTCGGATTCATGAGGCCGTATGTACCTTCACACTTGTAGCACTAAGGGCACTGACAACGGCGGTCCTTTTGGGCAGGGATTCACCTGTTCGTTTTCGTTGTTTTTCTCCACATTGCAAAACGAAGGGGAGAAATGTATCTCAATATATCGCACGAGTTTAAGAGGAATCCCTGCAGGGTCCTCAGACATCCCTTCGTCCATTCCTTGACGACGATGATGTTTGCATCGAGCTGCTCCTGTGCAGGTCAGTCCAGATGCGTCACAAGCGTGGGAAATTTTTTGGGTCGAGTCTCTTTTGGCTAGGAGGCAGGACGCTGTGCTGACGAGGGACATGAACATACTGTGGCTTGATCGCTTCAACAGCCCAGATCTCAGTGTACATCCACATACAGGGAGAGTCTATGCCACGATGACGTAAGGTGGAGAAAAGGTGTGCGTGTGCAGCACGCCGCAGAGTGCCTCTTGTGGTGTGTTCTGGCAAAGTCATGGGGTACACGATTTGGTGTTTGCCAGTCGACGGTGTATTTGGCAAGGCAGCAACATAGTGTCTGAAGCCTGGGTGTGGCTTAAAGATCACGAAAACCTCGAGGGTAGTCTAAACCGCCCACAGCGATTGCCACATGAATCACATTCCAAAGAAAGCGAATCATTTCAGATGGCCATTGTTTCATCCTTTTGGGACACAACGGATCACAGATCCCCGTGGGAGTGGCCACTGGTTGCACTCACAGAAGGTGGGCATAGTTGAGCGGTACGTTCTGACTGCCAACTCTCCAATCCCATGTTGCCATAAAGCAAAAGATGAAGATGCACTGCTTGTTATAATGTTTCAGAGCAGAAAGGAAACTTGGTATGAAATGGGCGCCCTGTCACGTACGCTCTATGGTCTGATCCAATCTGTTCAAGTATCTCCCAGAACACCTAATACAGGGGCCGTTCTGGTGAAAACCGTTGAGCACACAGCGTGGCTTCTGCAGTGAACCTTGCCACCCCGTCCTTCCAAATTTTTGGCACCTATCCTTCCTAAAACCTGCTTATTTTGATCCATTTGTAGATTGTTTTTTCGTTGATTGCTTGTCGTATTTCAAGTGATGATGATGCACTCGGGCCAGCTCATCTTTCTTTCAGCGTTCTTACGGCAGATACACATTGTCCCTCTCGAACGTCAATGATCCACACAGCCAGCCGGTGGTCATAATGGGGCGTCACGAACAATGGCCTTAACCCACACCCCTACCCCCTCCAACAAGGGATAAAACATTAACACTGTGACCTTTCCGCAGAAACTTTGGGCTGGTTCACTGCTCGTGGGGTATGGGTACACGAGCAGATTCAGCGTCCGCCCAGCCCCCAAGCTGCGAAACCGACAAAAGAAATCCCACACGAAACCACCACAGAATCGACTTTCCAGACTTTTGCATCACGCGGATGGGAGGTAAGAATCCCACCAGACCACCACAAAAACGACTTGCCACACTTTTTCACCACACGGACGGGCGGTAAAACTCCCACACCTAACCACCACAAAAACGACTTTCCAGACTTTTTCACCCAGCCGGATGGGTGGTAAAATCCCAAGCCAAACCACCACAAAAACGAATTTCCACCAAGACCGCCAAACCGCGAATTCGGCAAAAACTGCAGCGCCAACCGGGCTTGCCGCACAACCAGGCCGTTCCCGTTTCGGTTTCCTATTGCGCGCCCACCGGAACGCGGCGCAATGTTCGAGGGCATGTCCGTCCTCCGCAAGGAGGAGCGGGAGCGGTCGGGCCCCTCTGAGGAGGCCAAGGCGCTGTCCAGGTACCTGGAGTCCAAGTACGCGGGCGGGGACGCCAGGGCCAAAAAAGTGAAGAAGAAGAAGCGGGCGCGGCAGAACATCACGGTCCGGGACATGGACGTCTCCGGGTTCGAGGCCGGAGCGGGGGGTGCTGGGAGCGATGGAGAAGATGAGAAGGATGGTGGGCAGGGCCGGGGGGGTGGGGTGGAGTGGGGTGGGGTTCGTTGTGGGGTTGGAAGTGGGGTTGTGATTTGCCGCACTGCAAGAGAAATTGGAGCATGTAAAAGAGGTGGCAAGGGGGGGTGGGGGTTAGGGGTGAAGCCGCTACAAAGAGAGAAAGAGGCCTGTCGTGCATAGGGCACCCCGTCCCAAGCGACTGCATGCGAGACTCGTTTAAAGGGCGGGGGGGCGCTGGAACCGTGCGGCATGTGGCGTATTTTGCCACGGGGCTTGCAATCGTCGTCTCCGTTTGTTGTCCGTGTCGATTCGTTGTCTCCGCTGTTTGCGGATCGGTGGAAGGGGCCGGGACTTTGCGGAGAGCTGCCCTGCGCTTTGGCAAGTTACTTTCGCTGTAATGCAGACCGGCGACGCGCCAGGGAGTGGGCATATGGGGGTCCTCACCGCTCTCGCTGCCGTCTGATCGCAGCAGCTTTGCTGCTTTTGGCGCAGGCCCGTCGCAGTCTTCAAATTGCGCACACACGCATACGAGGGATCAGTCCTTGATTTTTCCATCGGTCGATGGTTGATTGTGTACGGAGGATGGTAGCTGTGATGCGCTGGTGGGCAGGGTCGATTTTGGGTGATAGGCTTGCAGTGATGGGTGGTCTCTGGGGACAGTGGGGGCACTCTGGTGTGCCACCTGCCTGTGAAACAGCCGAATGGTTCACAAATGCGACAGTGCAGGCGATTTTCTGCCAGACTTTAGTTCGCTGCAAGCGCGTTGGTACCCCAATGCCGATGTGTTACAAAACCTTGCATTGTCTGTTGCAGAGGCCCCTGTGATAGCCAATCCCGAAGAGGCCGAGCTGTTAAAGAGGCAAACAGAAAAGGTACACCATGGGAGGCCTGTGAGACCCCCTGGGAACATTTCTGCGCCATGGCAGTTGATTGGCTTTGCTGATGGGGCTTGTTGCGCGTGCACATGTATGCTGTCAGAGGGAAAGTGGACAGTACTTGTGAAAACTTCATACCTGCGCAGCACCATGCCTGCAAGGCAGCCTGGGCGACAAGTGTTTTTTTGGGAATTTGAAACATGGCAATTATTTTGAGGAGCAGTGCCTTTGGAGGCGAAGATGTACTGGTAATGGCACCCTATTCTGAGGACCTGTTGGGGACTTTCATGCCGCACAAGACTACTCAGAAGAAGCCTCCCAATGCGATGTATCAGAAACGCACAACAGCAAACAATGTTCAGCCACCTGCTATCTGCCTATGACAGGACATTACTGTCTGTGTGGTGGCAGATGATCAGGTGTGAGTTGGGCTCTGGAACCAACCAGCAAATAGCTGTGTGCTGCGATCAAGTTCAGGCGGCTTCCTTTAAATGTCAGTGTCTGCTGGTCTTAGGAAGGTGAACAGCATTGGAGGGGCTTAATGGCTTTGTCTGAGATACATCCAGGACGCAAGGGTGTTGGCCTCCAAAAGTGTTTCCCACGCCCACAGACTCAGCTGTGTATAGAAGATCATACGACCATTCCTTGTGTCTAATGGAAAACATAGTTTTCTTTTGTGCTTGTAATGAGAGCTGTGTGTTATACCTGAAGGCAAAACGATACTACGAGGTTGGCAATGGTGGTGCTGGCTGGACAAAGATGGACCAAGACAATGGAGAGGTACATCTTGAATGGACATTTTACAGTTGGAGTGTCAGCATGCAGTCGACATTCTTTGCTGAAAGCTCCGAAGGCTGTAGCAGTTGCATGATCTTGCAGCCCAAATGATATCCTCAGTGTGAGAATCTAAAGCTGAGGGAGATCTGGTTTCCTCTTGAACTTATGTTATCGTGCATGTTTCGCATAATCGCACAATTTAGGCTCCTACTGCTGCAACGTTGCTCATGTGGCAATGTATACTGCCACATTGATTGGCCAGTGTTAGGGCAGGTTCCCTCGCTGTCAGGGATCATGGATCTGTATTTTTTGCCTGCAGGATGGAGCAATGCTTCATCGCAAGCGTAAACCCAGACATGACTCACCAGACCAGTCCCCTCAGAGAAGAAAGTCTGTCAGGCATGACTCACCAGATCAGTCTCCTCCAAGGAGAAAGGCTGCTAGACATGACTCACAAGATCCGTCTCCACCAAGAAGAAAGGCTGTCAGGCATGACTCACCAGATCAGTCTCCACCAAGGAGAAGGGCTGTCAGGCATGACTCACCAGATCTGTCTCCTCCAAGGAGAAAGGCTGCTAGACACAACTCACCAGATCTGTCTCCACCAAGAAGAAAGGCTGTCAGGCATGACTCACCAGATCAGTCTCCCCCAAGGAGGAAGGCAACCAGACATTACTCACCAGATCAGTCCCCTCCAAGAAGAAAAGGAGCAAGACGTGCTTCAGCAGATCTGTCTCCACCAAGGAGGAAGGCAGCCAGACATGACTCGACAGATCTGTCTCTTCCAAGGACGAGAGGTGACCGTCAGGAAGGGGGCACCTTGATTACCCACAGACATGGAACAAAACGTCCACCAGCGATGGCAGATGGCACAACAGCGGGCATGGTGTCTGGTCAGCAGCTAAGGCAAGATCTGGAAAAGAAGAGGCGGCAAGACAAGGCAAGGTATGCGCCATGAACATGTGCTGCAGCTTACTGGGTTGCCACATCGATAGCTGGTATTGTGTTGCCTGGGAGCTTGCTATGGTGTGAAATCTTTTGCTTCTTTTGTCCTGCTCTGAATTATGGCACATTTTCTCAGGAGGTACTCATTCTGTGCACAATGGTCAACACTTAACAGCCGCTATTCTGTTCCTTTCTGTTGTGATGCAGGCTGTTGGCTCTTGATGCTGGTCAGACTGGTGAGGGTGCAGAGACTGTTTATCGGGATGCACATGGCAGGAGGATGTCATTGGAGGAACTCAAGGAAAAGAGGGCAAAAGAGCAGGTCAGCCCCAGCTAAGACAGCAAGCAGTGACAAATTGGCAGTTGATTCTCTGTTCAAAGCTTGCACAAATAACCAAACTTCCAAGCTTCCAGTAAAATGCCAAAGGCACTTATGTCGTGTTGGGCCAATAGCGTTTGTTGATTCTCACGTTCACAGGTGTGTGTACGGATTGCTTGTTGATTTTATTCACAGTGTTGCTGTGTTTGTGTATGATGTCTCGATTCTAACATTTTTATTTGCACACACCGGCCAGAAACAAAGAGAGGAGCAGGAGACAGCACCATGGGGCAGCGGACTTCTCCAACAGAGGGAAATGGAACGGAGGAGGGTGGAGATGCAGAGAGAAGTGAGCGCAGTAACCAGAACCAGTGTTTGTGTATCTGTTGAATTCCAACTCTTACACACCTGTGGAAAACCATATTGTCTTCCTGAGGGGCTGCCATACATTTTGCAACCATCCAGTGATATGCCTATTGATGAAATGGGAAACATCACAGAAGATAGCCTATGGAGTAAAGCGAAAAAGAGTATGTGCATTGGACTTCTGTGGAAGCAGATGACAACTAAATGTTGGAAAACAGTTGTTTGCCACCCACACAAGTCAACAGCATCGAACCTAGCAACCATATTGGGGACTGTATTGCTCCAGTAGGACACCTAAAGGATGTGCTTGCCAGTGTCCATTGTATATCCAGAACTGGCCACCAGAGCGTGAACATCATATCATGTCTGTTGCATTTCCTAAGATGCCTGAATCATGTGTCACCAGTGTCCAAACACTGCGATGGTACCCATGTTCATTTTCAAATGACAGACTGACGTGTGTCAATGAAGGCAGCCAAGCCCTTTGCTCGATCGAGGGATGACAAGGATCTGGACGAGATGTACAGGACAAGAACTCGCTTCGGGGATCCCATGGCACAGTTCACTAAAAAGAGGCAGCTAACTGATGAGGAACTGGCACCACCCGTGATCACTGATAGCATGAGGCAGTTCATGAATAAATCGGGTATGACGACAGATCGCCCACACGCTGGGAACTTGTTTGGCTGCCATGTTCTTTCAGGCAATACACTGTTTGACTGTTTGAACATTTCTTTTCTGGCAGGAACCAAACCTGGAGATTTTGTGCTCATTTCCCCATTTTCTGCTGGTATTACTTTTTGCACAAGGTGACGCAATGTTACGCAGTCACTTGAACCTAGAATGGGATGCAGGGCATTGTGTGCCAAATCATTGGGCCTGCATGTGCTTGACGAGTGTGTGGATGATGTGACATGCAAGACTATCAAGGGACCTGCTGCCCGCAACAATTGTGTCTATTTGTCGATGTCCATTGAATGCATGACTGCCCAGTCCGCCAGGAATAGGGCCATTGCAGAGAGCTTCTTAGCATCAATTAATAGTGACGTTCAGTGACATTGATTGTGTACAATTGGCACTGCTTACCCCAGTCTGGGTGCCATGACTTCCTGGGCCCAAGGCAACCCCATGGGCAGGTGGTGCAAGAGCAAGATATGCTGCAGTACATTGAAGCACTCGTCAGTGGCAGAAACAGCTCTGCTATGTATAAGTGCTGTGTTTAGTTTAATTCGTTTGTGCTCGTTACGACTTGGACGCTCGTTCCGCAGGCTTCGTTGTGCCTCAGGACGTGCCTCCCTACAGCTGGCTGAAGCGAGGTGTCGCGCCACCCACCAATCGGTACAACATTCGGCCGGGCAGGCACTGGGACGGGGTGGTCAGGACCAATGGATTCGAGCAGGAGTTCCTAAAGCAGCTGAACGAAAAGAAGGCTTTGGAAAAGGAGGCCATGATGTGGTCCGTCGAGGACATGTAGAGGTGGATATTGGTGTGCTGATTGCTGCGGCATTGCTGGTGGTGCAGCCGGGCTTCGACCACCGAATTGACAAAGTGCAGCACCCTGGAATGGGCCTGCGAAGGGAAAGACTGTCCCCACAGTGTATGTGATTGTGTCGCTGGCAAACGTTGCTTTTGGGCCAGCCGTACCTAGAAGGCTGCGTTGACTTGGGTGCATGAAATACCCAAGTCGGCTGCTTGGCATACGCTGGATGGCCTTATTCGGGGAATGCTGGTGTTCATGCTGTGGCAGGCGACTCGCGTTTGTGGTGGTCCCAGTCACCTGAGCAAGTAGTCAGCAGTTGCCTGCTGGCATGCATTAATCATGAACACCACGGAAATTGTTTCACAAGGGCGACTGTGCTGAAAAGAGCTGAGCCTATTAGAGACATGCTGGTCACTTGTGACGCGTCGTGTTTCACGCACCACAGCACTGTGACCCCTCGTATTTCTTTGCGTGAACATGCTCATTGCCGCAAAGCTTGGTGACAGAGCAGCTTGTGCTGGTCAAAGGCAGAAAGTAATGGCAGTATGGAAGGCTCCATGGGTTCTGTTTGCTTCTCGCCTGTATGCAGTCAGGGCGCTACCGCTTGCCACAGTGAAGGTGGTGCGGTGGTGTGCCATCGATGCCCGAGACTGCATGCCAACCGCACAGTGTTTGGATGCTTCCCAGCCGTAAATTGGATTACGGTTTGGATGTGTTTGGATGCTTGCCAACCGTATTTGCTGCTGCTCGAGCCTGCGAACTCCAACGGACGGCAGAACATTGCCTGACCGCCTCAGCCAATGGCGAAGCAGGTGGCACGGTGATGTGTAGGGAATCGGGATGCCTGTTTACCTTGATGACGGTTGGCCTGCCGCCAAGGATGGGATGCATTGCTGGTTTCATTGGCTGCTTGATTGCGGGGAGGATTGGCAGAAGTCATTGCAGTTGGCGCAGTGCATGGCACTGCGCAGTCCGCGCTGAATGTGCTTGTGCAGTCGGCGGCTGGTCCACTTTTATTCGCACATGGTGCGAGGCCTTGAGCGGAGAATTGCGCCTTCGCAGTGGATAGCCAAGGTTTAGGCGAATCAGAGGATGTGTATCTCGTGCCTCGGAACGCCATTTTCCGCCGGCTTGACTCTTGCATGAACACCCCCTCGGCCAAACGTGTTGCCTGTCTCATTGCTTTCGAGCAGTTCGAGCATTTGCAAGGTTGCCGTGTGCTTCGCCCTTATTCCACATATTCCCGCTATCTTCTGGTATTTCATTGCCCTGACAGATGTGCGTTCTGACTCCGCAACTGCTGACACAAGGCGTCCACTGCTGGGGATGATCCCCGCCCATCTGCAGAGCGCAGCGTCGATGTCACACTAGGCGACCCCTCCATGTATTAACAGGGAACTTTGCGACGGGCGAAATGCACCCAAGAATTCGCGAATGCCCATGAACGAGCGCAGGCTGAGATCCCAGCAAATGAGTCAGGAGGCACATGCTCGACAGCACAGTCACCTGCAGGTTTTGCTGGAGGAGCCCAGCCATCCAGAAGCGGCGCCTCACGAAGATGTGATGCAGAACGTGATAGGCAAAGGCAGTGCACATTCCTTGGCTGCCCATGGCCAGTTCAGGGACCGTGTGTGTTGCAGATTCTCGAAGGGGATCACTCTAGTGCAATGCCTCCAGAAGGCTCACGTAGCCAGACGCCCCTGCCGCTCATTCTTGCAGTTGCAGTCTGGCTTGCACCGCAAGTTATGTGAAGCGCTGCAAAAGCATCTTGTCTCCACGTCCTTCCCACATTACGTGCATCAGTGACGCCTTGTTATTGGCGGCCGCGGCTGGCATTTAGATTCCAATCTTGCCGCATGGTCTTCAGATCTCTGGATCACCGCCTGTGCTACAGTCGGGTTGGCACCAGTTGCCTGCAATCGACGTTATTCAACGCTCGCACCCGTAGTGTGACCCAAGGTTTGGGTTTGCTGCAGAGCGCCTCCAACATTTTCTGCAAATTTCATTGTAAGGGCCATGCGCGGGCCAGCCGGTTGCCCAGGAGAACAAGACCGTAGGCATCGCTGCAGCATTGCCAAACAAAAAGATAAAAATATCGGGCAGAAATAGGAAGGATTATCAAAAATACCACGGCTCTTCTTGGCCTGCCAGGAAGCGCAGACAACGCGAATCGAAGCTGTTGCGGAAGAGCGTTTCAACAGCGCGTCCGGACAGATGGGGGGAATCGCCCCCTGAGCACGCATGCCATCACCAAATGCGTTACATTATTCGGTAGAAGGCGCGCATCGCACATGCACCCTCCCCCTCCTTCCGGCACCCTTCCCTCCCCGATTGCGTCCATAGCTACCACTCTACCGGAGAAGCGCCTTATTGCCATCTTGTTCTCAAGTGCGCGCCGGCCGCCGTGGCGCGCATCCCACAGCGGCACAATCTCCCACGCACAGACCGACAATCGACCCATTTTTCTTTTCCAAAACACCAAAAATCATTCCCCATGAGTCAGCACCGCCGTCACCAACCAACCTCAAGCACTGTATCTCAAAAAATCAAAACCGTCCAGAAATCCCAAGCATCTTATCTCAAGAAAATCACCATCATCCAGAAATCTGAAGGGGCATTGCCAGCCTCCTACCCCAACGACCACCCACAGTGCTCCAGAAATCTCAAGCTGCACACCCAAAGAAAATCAGCATCCAGAAAATCCGAAAGCGAGCAGCACTGCCAGCCTCCTGGCCCAATAACTCACCCGCATTGCTCCAGAAATCTCAAGCATCATATCGCAAGAAAAAAATCATCGTCATCATCCAGAAATCTCAAGGCGAACAGCACTGCCAACCTCCTCTCTGGGCGACTCACCCACAGTGCTCCAGAAACCTCAAGCCTCATATCTCAAGAAAACGAAAATCACTGTCATCTGGAAGTCTCAAGGCGACGAGATTTCTCTAAACCCCGCCGCCCAACGACTCACCAACAGCGCTCCAGAAACCTCAAGCATCATATCTCAAGAACATCGCCGCTGTCCGACAACCCTTAAGGCGGGGAGAAATCCCACTCCCTCGCCCGACGACCACGGCCACCTCCTTCCCTTGCAGTGAAAAACGAAAAAGCTCCACGACGGCGAGTCACCCACTTATCAATAATTTTCATGAAGCGACGAAAGCTCTTCCAAAAGCGAAAAGGCCTCACGACAGTGACTCACCCACGATCCCCCGGCCGCGCTCACCCGAAGAGCCCAAAGCCCTCCCGGCTCTTGGCCTGACCAAAACCGGGGTCCACGCTCCTACCCCCCCCCCAAGCCCAATCTTCGCTAACCGTCAAGACTGCACGCACACGCCGCTCTGGCAGTGCGCCATGCCCGTGGGCGCGTGGCCGGCCCGGGAGGCCACCCTGCGCCTCGTGCCGGCGCCCTTCTCGGAATCGAAGGCGCGTTTGCGCTTGCGGCACCGCCGGCCGCCCTGCGACTCCCCCATTTCGGCCCTGCGAGAAACACAGCCAGCCAATCGCTCAGAGGCGCCGCGCGAACTGAGTTGAATGAAATTTTAGTCGGACGCCGCTCCGATGTCCACTGCGGGCCCAGGCCGGGCTGCGCACGCCCAACTGCCCGTCGGGAACTACCCGACGCCGCGCGCGCAAGGGGAGGGGTGCGAGACTGTTGCGACACGGGAGAAAACAGCGAGGCGCAATCCCACTTTTGTTCCAGCCGTAAGGAGACTTGGCGAGCGGCCCGAGACAGAAGAAGGCGGATGGAGAGGAGAGAGCGTCAAGCGTCCGCGAGGCAGGTCCATTGGTAAAGGGCGGCGTCCACACCAAGGAAGGGGAGGGGGTGGGCAAGAATGTCACAACACGGAATCGCGAGGAGCAATCCCGCTTTTCTTCCAATTCTAAGGAGACACAGAGGGCGCCCCAAGGCGGATACAGAGGAGAGAGCGTCAAGCGTCAGCGCTGCAGGTCCGTTGTCAATGGGCGGCGTCCGCACCAAGGGAGGGTGTTGAGTCAGGCTGTGTCGCCAGAACGCAGTTGTGCCAGTCGGTGGCAAAAGGACAGCCCGGGCGGGTGGGTGGGCGAGAACACGTCAACGAACGGGTTGGGCTTTGTGCACCGCGGCTTCAGCGCTTGTCGTCGTGCGCACCTTATGTTGTCGGCCACCTCTTTGTACGGCCGGTACCGGTCGGCATCGGCAGGGCCCTTCTCCGACGCCTCCGCCATCGCCTGCAGGCCCTCCAGCATCTTCAGCATGTCGCTCTGCGCGGCAGAGGGCGGGACGGGAGGACGTCAATCGCCGGCGAGCCCAAGCCGCCGCCCGCCCGGTCGCTTTTGCGCCCGAGGGAGGCTACCAACGAACCCGGAAGCAGAAACTCAGCCTGAGATGGCGCATTGGGGTACCAGCGACCGGAGGAGAGAGGGGCGCCACGGAGGGCGGGGCGGGGTGGGGGCGGGGGCAAAGGGCCGTTACCTGGATGTCCTCCTTGGAGGCTTCAATCCTGAAGAGCTCCGCGAAGGTGTTGCCTTGCTTGGACTTGGACCGGGTCGCCATCGTTCCACCCTCCAGCACTTGCACCTGCGGCCCTCCCCTGGCGGCACGATTCTCAAGGGCTGCCTCACGCCGGCGCGGCCACGGGGCTCAACTGTATGCCCAACTGTTTGTCCAAAGCGCTGGGGCGCCGGAAGCTTGGGGTTTTATCAGACCGAGAAGCGGGGGTCCGATGGCCCAGCCCCGAGTAAGTGATGGGTGGCCCCAGGCGCGTCCATTGTGAGGTGCCGGCATCGAGGAAACTTGGGGGAAGTTTAGTGTGATTGCGTGAGCATAGGCGTTGTTGTGTGGCGGATTGAAGCGACTGGCACTGGGCAAGGTCATGTGTGTGTCCGCTGAGAGCGCGTTGGCTGACGCACACACTTCCAGTCATGGCCGCCGTGGCTGCGGTACTTAGCAGGGCCGCCTGCTGTTGCGCGAGGCGCTGTTTGTTGTAGAGCGCAGTGATTTGTCCCGCAGGGTTCCACTGCCGCGTGCGGCCAAGCCGCGGGGCCTGTGGCTGGGGGGGGGCCTGCCGGGAGCCCCCCAAAGGGGCTCGTTCGCGAATGTGACAAGCCACGATGACTTGCCCAATCGTGGATGTTGCGTTGGCCAAGGCAGCCGCAACGAAGGAAAGTAGTTACGTTCAGCCCTGCAATTCTGCCCACCCAGGGCACACGCTGAAAAGCAATTACAATCACTTTTCCAGCTCGTCGCACATGCGACAGATATCACAAACCATGTCCACACAGCCACATATACCCGAGTCCGTCATCCAATGTTCCCACAACAAAATCTGCATCGGTCAGTGCATTCACCCCAATATCAATGTTTTGCCATTTTCGGTCCCAGAAAATATCCAGAGCGAGAATCATATCAAAGAACCCATCATCACAACCAAAACACAGCGGTGGGCGGGAGGGAGAGAAAACGAAGTGCAGTATGGCTCCTGACAGGTCTCTTAGGCGGCGCCGCCACTCGCGACCCACGCGGAGCCGTTGGAAGTCGTCCCGTCATGCTTGTCGGCCCCAAGGTTCCCTGCCGCCACAGCCTGCGCGCGCTTCTGCCAGGACGAGAAGACAGAGCCAGCCGAATCACCGGTGAGTCACTGGAATTCTCCCGCCCTATTTCCGGGCCTACCGTAACCTCGCCTACTATGCGTAACCTACACTTACGTTCAGCCCTGCAATTCTGCCCACCCAGGGCACACGCTGAAAAGCAATTACAATCACTTTTCCAGCTCGTCGCACATGCGACAGATATCACAAACCATGTCCACACAGCCACATATACCCGAGTCCATCATCCAATGTTCCCACAACAAAATCTGCATCGGTCAGTGCATTCACCCCAATATCAATGTTTTGCCAAATTCCCAACGATCCGGCACCCGTGAGGAGCTGGGGAAGAAACAAACGGGGGGCGGAACACAACACCCGAGAGGGAAGGAATGATGACGGTCAGGCAGGCCGGGCAGGGGCGGCAGGAGACGTCTCGCTGAAGATCTCACAGATGTCCCGCCGCAAGGAATCCGCCCGAACCACCATCCAGCCAAACAAACGGAAATCGTAGGATGTAGGGCGGCGCTGCAAGTCAACATAGGCCCAAAGAGCATCAGAGTGGGGGGCCCACCAGCCCCAACCACGGACATGGGCCTCGGGCACCAGAATGGAGAATGCAGAAGAGGCCCCCGTGCGCCGGACAGCATGGTGATGATACGGCACACCAGTCGGGGTCAAGTGGACACTCGCCTCAGCAAACCAACGGTGGACATCCTGAAGGCGAGGGGGATGCCGGTCCGAAGGCAGACTGAAGAAAAACTGCTCATGGCCACGACGACCCGGGAGGTGCCCCGCACGGCAAGCTGTCTAGAGCTGCACCCAGTGCTGGAACAGAAAGGGCAAGTTCGGGAAGCCCCGAAAATCAAAGGCCCGAATGCGCCACATCAAGGCGCGGGTGGCCTTTGCCTTGTGACGGCGTTCCCGAAAGAAAAGGTGGGTAGGGGCATCATCAGCAGCAGTCGGGGCCACCGTACCCAGCCAATAGTTGCCACAGAAAATCTCATGGCCAGAATCCGCCCGCGAAAAAAACAGGGTGTCGAGGATCAAGGACACCAAGGGGCGCAGGCGGTAGGGGTGCCGCTCCGCCAAACCAAGCTCAGCCAATCGGAAAAGGTCAACAGCCGGAAAAGTCACAACAGTCTCGCGATAAGCTGAGGGAGGGGCAGCCACCTTCCAAGCACGTAATAACCGGGCCGTCACAACATCATGGGCGCACCAATCGGGGACGCCAGCCCAGGCATGAACTGTGGAGATCGCAGACAAATACGTGCTGGCATTGCCCACCGCGACACGACCCTCGGCCCGCAGAAACAAAACATAGGCATAAATTTGGTCCTGCGAGGTGGGCAAGGCCCGCCACCCACGAGCGGAACACATGCGCGAGTATTTTTGAAACTTGCGCCAAATCGAAGCCCGACCCAAAACAGCATTTGATTCCACCAAGCTGAGTACCACAGCCATACGTTCTCCAGACTGAGCTTGCCCATGGTGGAGAAATCGGTCACCGAAGCTAACTCACGGAGAATCTCCATCGTCAACGCGTCACTCACCGGAAGGGCGAGGGGGGCCGCGGGGGGCGTGAACCGGAATGTGGGAGCACCCGGACAGCCATGATCGTCCACCGAGTGCAGCCTATCGAGAGTCCGCCGGTCCGGCCAGCCATAAAAAATCGGGAGATGGCGAAAACTCCTAGATCGCGGCCCCGAGACGGGTCAGGGGGCGGAACCACGGGGCCCCCGGCCACACCGGTGCAAGCACCGTCGCCTCGATGGATGGCTGGGCCTGTAGAAGAGCCGTGAGGCGTCCCAACAGGCTGAAAGATGGGTTGCACCAATTGCGGTGCTGCGTCCAGTCCACTTGGGCGAAGGCATCGATCCCGGCGGTGAAAGGGCACCACCAGCGTGAATTGAACTGGGGCGTACGGCGATTCTCGGTGCTGGCGAAGCAGTCCATGGTGTATGGACCCCAGGTCGCATCCAGCTCCCGAAATATCCTGGGGTGCACCGTCCAATCCTTGCGATCCAGGAAGCGGCTCAGCTCGTCCGCCACCAGGTTGGCGGTGGTGGGAATCCACACCGGGTTGAGAGAGATGTTGAGAGTCGAAGTCAGAAAGAACACCTTGCATAGGGCAGCCATCAGGGGGGTGGAAGCCGACGTTAGCTTGGCGAGGACGCACTGAACGACCTGACTGTCGGTGTACAGGTTCACCCGCTGCCCCGAGAGTTGCCGCCAGAATGACTGAAGAGCTTGCACCACCGCCGTCATCTCGAGCACGTTTATGTGAGAATGACGATCAGTCGCCGCCCAGAACCCCCGAGCCAAGACTGGAACCGGACGGGAAGACGGGTGCTCGGGTGGGACTGTCAAAGTCGCTCCCCACCCGTACAGGGAACTGTCCGTGTGAACTGTCGCCGTCGCCGGAGGCCGCCAAAGTACTGAGGCGGAAGTCCGGGGTCCCAAATGGGCCCAAAATGCCAAATCCGCCAGCTATTGGCGAGAGAGGCGCAGCGTCCCCTGCCAGCTCGTCTTGGTCGCCAGGTCGTCATACAGAGACCGCAGGAAGAACCGGGCGGCCGGCACTTGGAGCGAGAGGCTCTGGCCGCGGCCGCAGAACCGGGCGAGAACCTGGGCCTTGAGCGGACGGCGGCGATGGGCAAGCAGGCGGGCGGCATCCGCGCGGAGCTGGGCCACCCGATCGTGCGGGGCGATCACCAAGCCCCGCGCCGTGTTGAGGAGAACGCCCAGGTGGCGGATCAGGTGAGTGGGTTGCCACTGGCACTTGCTGGGCTTCAACACGATGCCCAGGGCCTGGAGAAGAGTCTGTACCATGGTGCCCCACGTTGCCGTCGCCGCGTCCCCCAACAGGCCCCCCACGAAATCGTCCATGTACGGGGAAAGGACGGGGGAGGGATTGGCCGCCCAGTAAGCCGCTAGGGCAGGATGGGTCGGGCGGCGCCGAGCGGCTACGCGGGGGGCGCGCAGAAAGGCGACGAGGGGCCGCATCAACTTGGTAAAGACGGGGGGGGGAGTTCGTCTATCCGAAGCAAAGGCCGGGCGCCTCGGAAAGCTGGCCATTCACCGCGAACTGAAATACCTCACGGCTTGGGCCTCCACGCGAAGGTGATGGAAGGCATCGCGGACATCCCAACCGATCAGGTGGTGCCCCGGGCATAGAGTGGGCAGGAAAGTCCGTAGTGTCTCGAATTTCGTTGATAACTTGGTGGTGTGTTGATTGAGGTGACGAAGGTCCACCACCAGCCGGAAGCCGCCGTCCTTCTTCGGGACCATGAAGGCGTGGGAGACGTGGGTGGCCGGGCTGCGGGAGTAGCGGATGGCGCCCGTCTGCAGGTAATGGGTCTTGAGGTCCTTCCATGCGGCAAGCGCTGGCACCGTGAGCCAGCATGTCCCGTGATGGAACGGCGGGGGCGGTTGATGGTTCCACACCACCGGAACGCCCTCCCGGATCCATCGCAGAATCGTGGAAGAGGCGCCCAGTTGGCGCCAGAGGGCGATGTTGCGGCGGAGCCGCGTCGAGAAGTCTTAGAACTTCTTCCTCGGTTCTTAGAACTGATCCCCCAGGAATGGAGGGGGGGGTGGGGGCGGGGCCCAACGCCGGCGGGGTCCCCTCGGGGGATGGTGGCCTTGGCGTGGGGACATGCCCGCTG